GTAATTAATTATCCTTGCATTCCTAATTTTAGGTATTCTTAAATTATAGTTCGTCTGAACATTCAAAAAATCATTTAAATATTTCATCGACGAAAAAAAAAAATTCGTATCTATAGTTAAACTTTTTTTTTTATCTTAAAGTACATTATACACTTACAGTAGTTTTTCTTGTTTTTAACGTCTATTGAATGTAAACCACATGGTTACAATGCGTTTTTAATCAGTAAAGAATGAAAAAAGCGCAACAATGACCAAAAAATGAATTACATGCGTCTCGCATAGTCTCAATAGGCATTTTGAAACAATCAGAATTTTGATGAACGCAAATAAAATTTTCTACGACATATTAAAAAACATATTTTTATTCAAACAAGATTATCTGTTATTCTATTAAAACAAAGATAATTTATGAATTTGTTTTTGTTTAAATTTTTTTGATGAAAAAAAAAAAGTCTCATAGAATTCGTTAGAATACAATTCTCTTTCTTAACCTTCTGCAATTGTTTTCGATATTACATGAAATAATTACTTAATCTAACGCATATGTAATTTTTTTTTTCTATCATATTGGCTTTCGCTCAAACAACACAACAGGTTTTTTTTTCTCTTTTTAAACTATGCCAATGCATATTTAAAAGAAGAAAAAACTTCACATTGTTATTAATATATTTGGCTGACACTATTACAAGACATATAAAGAAAAAAAAACATCAACCTGCATTGCGTCGATAAGAAAAAAAAGTTTCTTTTTTTTTTCTCTTCTTTGCTGACGCACTAAGCAGTACGTTTTTACTTTTAAACATATTGCATTTAAAAATAGTTATGGTTGATTACCTTGGCAGTTTGTAATTTGCATACGACTTACTAGTAACAAAATATATAATGTCGACTTTTTTTGTTCTTAAAAAGTTGATGCAAATTTTGTGCATACAAACAAATTCAGAAAGATGATTTGTAAACAATATTTTACGTAGTTTTTAGTTTCGTTGGTTCATTTATTGTTGTTTGCACTAAAAATATTCAAAATTTGATTTCATAATGTCATTTCTTCTTGAGAAAAATCTTCAACAAAGAAAACAGTTTACTAATTAAAAATGTACAAAAAACAAGTACAACTCTCAAATTAATAAAATAATATCTGAAGAGATGTCAGGTTCCATTTGTACTAATATATAAAATGTTATTAGTTGTTATTGTATTATTGCCGAATTTAATATTATGACAAAAATAGAACAGAATTGTGCTGAAAAACAAATGAAGAGTCTTATAACAAAAAAGTTCTTACAATTGTAAAAAAAAAAAAAAGAATAGAATATAAAATACGTATATAATGATTATTCTTGATGCATAATTTATGATTTCGTGTCGCCATAATAAGAAAATACTAGTCAACAAAAAAAAGAAACTTATTTGACTTAGTGAAAAATAAAACTACTCAATAAAAAACAAAAATCTCTTGAATTTAAATGCTCGATTGAACACTTATTTACAAATTTTCAATATTATAATCATCTACACTTTATTTCAAATGAGAAATTCGTGAAGTATTTTATGATTATTGTAAAGAACTCACTCAATTATCATATTGTCATGCAATAATGAAACTATATGTCAAGTTGACACTTATTTGAAATAAATAATTTAATTAAAATCTTCTATTCCTCAGTGATCTCTTTTAGTAATACATTGTAAAGCTATATATTAACTCTTTATGAGAACATAGTGTTCAAGAAGGTTTTCTTGAGATGTATTTCAGTTGGCAAGAATTAGTACTATATTGATTATTATCTTCTCCTCATGACAGCAAATAACCTAAAGTATATAATTTCAACTAGATGAATGATTTTTCATAACTGAAGTGGATTAAAAAAAAAGTTTGCCAACAATGAGTTATTTGTCTATTTTGTACGGCAAACGATAAAAAAAAAAAGAAGTATCAAGATAAACATCAATATTTTATTTAATAATGAAAACAAAATCTAAGGTCAAATTTTCATTCAAAATATGAAATTGAATGCAAAGCCAGAATAGAAATTTATGAAAAACAAAAAGAAAAAGAAAAAGAATTAAAACCAAACATGTTTTTTTTTTTCTTCCTACTATTGTAATTATGAATATAATGTATGCATCGATTTTTTTTTGATTGTCTTGATGATGGAATGAAAGAAAAAAAAGAAACTTCCCAAAGTGTCTTGACTAGCATTTTCTTTATTGAAAGTGTATATCTACAAATAAATTTAGTTTACCTGTTTCTATATAAAATAAGTATCATAGAACTGTAGTACTGTCTTTAAGTGACTGTATATATATCATGAAATGGTCTTGTTTTACTGTTCTATACATAGAATGTCGTATCATACCTTATTCAATCAGAAATCGATTAAGTAAAGTTAATAGAAATTTCTTTTGACTTTGATATGAAACGCATATTTAATAAGTAAACTTGCTTTAGTCTTTCTTTCATATTTTTTTCTTTTGACTGCTGCTACCTGACGCATTTTTTTCTTTCATATTATAAAATTAAGTCATTTCAATAAAAAAAAAAAGTTTAATATCAAACCACTGTATTCATCAATTTAAAAGGCAGGAATATTTCCTTTGTAATCTACTTGAGCTTTTTTTCTTATTATTATGTTCGATTTCCAATCTCATTGGTAAACATTTCATAAGAATCATAAGAAAGAAAAAAATATCTTACTCGTCATAGGCATACATTCAAATGCTTCAATAGCACTTCATCATTTTTTTCTATGAACGAGTGAAAGGCATGAGTATAGAAAGAATAAATAAGGCTGACAGAAAAAAAAAAAAATTTAAAAGAAAAATATTGCAAGTATCATTTATGTAGCCTCAATAGTGCCATTCAGTAGTACTACTCTTTAATCTTTTTACAGGACTATCCATGTATAACCGTTAAGCATAAATACACTATTCTCATATGAAATTAATTTATTTTTTTAATTTTTCTTTGATGTTTTTGCATCAGCCATCTTTTCGTTTTACCAAATTTGTATATACGAATTTCAATAAGATCTCTTTTACAAAACGGAAATTTTAACTGCTAGTATCTGTTAAGCATAGAATGAATTTAAAGATGAAATTCAAGTCGGGAAAAAACGAAGGAAAAGCTATTTTATAAATGTATACAATGGAAATTAATTGCCGATGAATAAAAATAAAATGACATGTCATTTAACAAGAATATGTTCTATTGAAAATTACATTGTCATTGTATGCAATTTTAATTAAATAATAATTTATATAAAAATACGATATTACTTGTAAATAAAGTATAGATCACTAACTGGTTCAATAGTGTTTTGGTTCTATTGCATAATCTACAAGTATCTGTAGTCAACCACTTATTCTACTTCAATTAAATAATTTTTTTTTCTAATTACGAATTGAGATTAAAAAAACTATCACACAATTACCTATATTTTTAAATATAACGAGAGAATCTCGACAAATAATTGATTTTTTTTTGAATGAATCTGCTATATTATTGCTTAATGATGGCCATTTTAATGAATTTTGTCTTCGAAGGTATTGCCTCTCTCATCCTTTTCCTAGGTTTCTAGAGAACGGCACATCAAAAATACTGAAAACTGTCAGTACAAGTAGATCTTGACGAGTAAAGCAACAGTCATCATAGACTCAAAGTTCTCGGATGCTGTCGTCTATAAAATATTGGGATCACAAAGCCTTCTGTTTCTCCCACATACTATGTTCAATCGAAACTGAAAATTTTTTTCCAGGTCTTAGACATTATTTGGAATGAGTATCTTTATATTTTTTTATCCTTCAGACAAAAAAGAAGCTAAAGTATCGAACATATTTCTAAAAACGTATGTTTTTTTCTGATAGATCTATTAAAAATTAGTAGAATAGATGTGAATGAAGTGAAGACTATGTCCAAGACTCACTTATACACCTGCATTATTTATCCAGATATATGGTTTACACATGGACATTTACAATATGAAATATTATCATGGGAAAACTTCAGTGATTTAACTTAATCTCGCCTCGTCGTAACCTCTATAAAATCGGTCTCGACTATTTCTTATATCCGAACATGAATAAAATTGCTTTGAATTTTCAGTTTGATTAGAGAGTTTACTATTTGATTATCTTTCTGTAAAAGGATTAAATTTGATGATTAACTTTTAAAGATTTCATTAATGAGAATTTATATAGAAAATAAATCATTCTACAAAATTTTATATAAAATTTAAAAAAGTTACTACAATTTGTAGAAGACATGAATTTTTGACAAGAATATCATTTCGATCTACAAGTCAGTCTGATTTACTCTGATTAGTTGCAACTCGTAAATGCTTAGAGACAAATATTGAATTTTAAAAAATAATATTATTCTAAATTTAGTGTCAATTTCAAGATAAAAACTCACTTTTTATCTTGAATATTACTTGCTAAACATAGAAGTCAAACAATATTGAAAACTTCGACATGAATTTTTTGTTTAGTGCGATTGACGTTTTTTTTTATCTAAAATATCATATTGAATTCATAAATATAGTATCTTGTGAAAAGATTTTTCTCATCTACAAAAATTTAATTGAACTAGATATTACTACATATGAAATGTATGAATAAGCTTATGAATAATGAATACAAACTGACAAATCATCAAAAAAAATAATAAAACAATTAGATTATTTGTCATCGTTCGATGAAGATATTCTATTATAGTTTTAGTTCGATTATTTCAAAGACATTCGATATCTATGGAAAAAAAGAAAATACTGAATAAAATTAATACTACACTGTCTTATATTTCTGTAAAAGCAACAAACATCAACCTTGAAAAAAAATTGTTTGAAAAACAAACATATTCCATTAAAATATAATGTCATATACCTTGTCGCTTTCTTTTTGACATGTGTTTCATTTTTCGTTTGTTATGATCTTTATTCATCCTTTTACTTGTACAAACTGCATACATTTTTTTTTTCCTGTAATTGCAAGATACATCAATGCATCCTTGGATTTCAAAAATTCATTTTTATTATCGATCACTTTTATCAGCTCAAATACTTTCTCTTACTATAGGATTTTTTTGTATAACATATTTAATTTTATCAAATTTTTCTCAATTATCTATCGAAAATATAAGTCCTAAAACATGGATTCAATCTGTATTAACAAATAATACAAATACAATTGCATTAAATATTACAAAACAAGATATTAATTCTTTAGTTGATATTGAAAATAAAAGTTTTATTTGTGATCGTATGAGAAAAAATGATGGAACTCGAGAAGTAAACGTTAGTTCAGAATTAGATGATCATCTTATAAATATTCTTCGTCGTAAGTAAATTATTATTTATTTTTCTTTTTATTTTTATTTTAAAAATACTGTTTATAATTCTCTAGCATATTGTGAAGTTGTGCCTATTCTTCGTAACAATTGGATTCCTGCTAAACGCTATATTGAAAGTGATATTGTTTTTATTATATATACAAGTGCATCTTTTTATCATACACGTGCAACAGCAGTTCGAGATACATGGTTATCACGTGTAACTCATAAATATTTTTTTAGTCAAACACCATATCCATCATTACCCGTGACTGTTATTGAAGGTGTTGGCGAAACTTATTCATCAAATATTAAAAAAATCTATTATGGAATGCAAATAGCATATAAAAATCATAATAAAACAGCTAAATTTTATTTTCTAGCTGGATGTGATACATTTGTTAATGTTCCACATTTATTAAAACATCTTGAATCATTTAATTATAAACAACCTATAATTATCGGTGGATATCCTAATAAACATGTATGTTATGTTAAAAGAAATGCAACAAATGATATTATTTCTTATCCATCGGGTGGTGCAGGTTTTCTTCTAAGTTCTCATACAATGAATTTGATGATACCTAAATTAAATTCTTATTTTGAAAATGATTGGCCATTGACAGATGATAAAGCACATGCCGATGGTATGAAAATAATATATTTTTTTTTCAATATATAGTTTTATATTTTAAATTAATTTTTTTTTGTCTAGCTGCTCTGACTTGTCTTGCTCATTCTATGGGTATAAATTCAACATTTGTTCCTGGATTTTGGAAATTTAATCCTGAAAAAACACTTACAGATATTGGAAAAGAAAAATTCTATACTAATCCAGAACCAAATACATTTCATTATATACATCCATTATTTATGTATGTTCTAGATGAATTTTATATTCATCAATTACTTGATCGATTAGGAAATGATAAAAATTTTGATGAACTTATGAAATTTACTCGACAATTTGTTCTTATTCATTATGAATTATTACGTATTAAAAAACGTGAATGTACATTACCTGAAGTAGAAAGAATTAAAGAATAATTCTTCATACTCTAATTTAAAAACAGTTTATGTAATTAAATAAATCAACTAATTAGATACAATATCGAATATAAATATTTTTAATTTGTTATTTATAGTTCATAAGAGAATAGATATCAAACAAGTTTTTATATTAAATCTTTCAATAATATGACTAATATTATTTCAAGAATTCTAGTAAAACAGATAATGAAATAACTAATTAAATAGACTTTTAAAGTGCATTTGTTACGTTAAATAAATTTAAAAAGTGTTTTAATTTATACTCTGGTCAAGAATAGAATTGATTTTATGAGAATGTTTGTAATAATATGAACTAAAAATCAGATAGTTTCAATATTCTTAGTAAATAAATGTTCTATACAACTTAAAATCCGATATGCATTCACGTATTTATATTTTGCATGCAAATTACGTCTTTATAAAAAATGAAAGATCAACATAGATGCTCAAAAATTTTCTAATGTATAACGAATTTGTTCTTATGTTATCCAAATAGCAACTAGTAAACTAGTTTTGAAAATTATTCATTATCAAAAGAAGTTATTAAGATTGCAAAGACAACATAGCTTGACTATGCTTTCTAAATAATTTATAAGAGAACTTTAATACTACTTATTGAATGAAGTGCACCAAATCGAATTGGTTAATAAGGTTCTATTTGTATTGATCTCAGTAGTATAACTTGTAATACTAATGACAAGAATGTGAGTGAAAAGAAGATTCATGCACTCAAACTTAGTCTTTACAGATAGATTGTACGTGTTCGCAGATTTGATGTACTATTGAATACATATTAGTTTCCATAAGTGATAGAAATGCTTGAAAAACATTTTCTATTGACATCCACAACAATCAACGTGAATATTTTTATTGCAGAAATACGAAACACATATAATTATACTGCACATAACCCTTTCCATTCGCTTCATTTCTCAATTTTACTACATGCAGTTTGTTTGAATTTCAACCTTCGTATGAATGAATGAATTTTTTCAAGAATTTTTCAATGCTGTGTATAATGATAGTAGAGTAATTGATGTCAAATTTTGCTGCTACGACAATTCTATTTGTGAATGGTCCATCGCTGTTGTTACTTGTCGCCCTCGTCGTGAACCGAGTTTTTTCACTTTGTTCCGTAGTTCAGGCAAGGAACCGATACATACAATAGGTAATAACAAAATAGGAGAGTATGCATAATAGAAGAGTGTTGGTAATATTTCATGAGCCCAACCGGGTTGACCACATAAGCGAACAAGATCGATGACTGAGAGTGGGAAATCGAAGAACAAATATAGTAAAGATATAGAAACAATATGTATGATTAGTTTCCGCTGCTTTCGTCATTCTACAGTCCAATGAAATCGATATTTTTGCCAGATAACACGTACGAGTAGTGCCATGCTGAAGATGGCAATGAAAAATGTAGGTGCTACGGCAAAACCAACTCGTTTAATCATACCAAAAGATGGTATTGAATCGTAGCATCCAGCCATGCCACACAGATCCGCCATATAATCAAATGTATTCTGGCAAGGTGGCGCAAAAATTGCTACTCCGTAGAAAATCATCATGAACAAAACGATCATGAATAATGGGAGGTTAGTGAACAAGAACACACTTTCGTGGCGTAGCTACCATCCATGTATGAAAAATGAGAATATGCCGTTCAAAAGCTGCCCACATGATCAAAACAAGATCAATGAAAAAGAAGGCATAGTCGATAAACCACCAGGCGAGACAGAGTGCTGGTGTAGTCGGACGTACAATACCTGTGCTAAAATATTGTATATGCAGTAGCATATCGATCAGTTGATAGATAAGATTGAACAAAAGTATAAGTATTGTTGCATGATTGTGAAGAGCTTGACGTGAACTTCGTTCTATTAATAAGTGGTAGAGTGCGAAAACGGAACAGAAAACAGCAAATACGTCAAATATGAGAAAGAGCCAGAAACGCAATGGAAATACGAGTCCATAGTTCGAATCTGATGAGTTTGAGTAGAAAGTATTGTTCACAGAAAAAGAAGCCATTTTGTATTATGTATGCCTTGGAATGCTTATCTCTCAGTTGCTATGTGAAGAATGATAATATGATAAAACTGAATATTTATATACAACAATAAAGTGAAAAAACTGAGTTGACGTACAACAAATCTCATTAACAGACCACTTTTCGCTTGAATGAGAAAGAGATGTGTTCATGTGCAATACGAGTATAATTTGTATGCAATCTAAAAAAATGTCAATTTTGATAATGATTAAAATAATACACTATCGTGTGCCGATATTGATATTACCTCTGACTGATCTTCGTTTTCTCTTTCCTACTGACTCCTAAATAAATGTGTGTTGTATGTGAAATAGTCACATTCTGCAGATAGAAAGTAGTTTAATAAACATTATTAGTGAGAGTGGCGGTAAGCTATTCTCTCCAGTTTATCGTTACATATTCTTTATCAACACTCAAGATAAATCATGTAAATTCAAAATGCACATCACATATGTCTATATGCCTATATTAGACCAATTATAGCTGAGTTGAAACGCAATTATTTGTCATGATATAGGAAAATGCGTTTGTTGACGTTTTGAGTGTCACATATGCCTATGAACATTTCTTTCCAGTATGTTTGACTGCTTGACAGTGAATGTCTGGCACGAAGTTGAAGATCCGCATAAATAGTCGGCAATTTATGACGGTTCAAATAATCGGATGTAACAAGATTTTTTTCCTACATTTTTACATCTACGTACATCATACTATAGGACTATGAAATGGTTCAAATTTTTTCATAAAAAGATGCAAAATTTGATTCTCAATATTATTTATCTTAATTGAAATAGAAACAATATGTGATAGAATGATTTAAGTAGGAAAAGAGCAAGAATTTAAATCTTTTAAATATCAATTTATTACTTTCAAGAATTTACATAATCACAACTTATGCAATCTACAAAAAAAAAGAGTTCAATGTTATCGTTTTCAATTAAGATAAATAATTTAGAGAATAAAATTCTACATCTGTTTACAAGAAAGTTAGAACCATTTTATAGTCCTATAGTGAAATATACATATATGTAAAAATGTACGAAAAATCTTGTTACATCCGATTAGTTAAACCGTCATAAGTTGTCGACTATTCATGCGAATCTTCATCTCATTTCAGACAATCACTGTCATAAATTTACTCATAGTGAAAAGAAATATTCATAGACGTGGATGATATTCAAGACGTCAATAAATACATTTCACTATTGCATGACAATAGATCGCATGTATACCCTCAAATAGAACAGTCATAGCAATCCTTCAATAACAGGATATTCAATAGTTTGCAAAGTTGAGAGTTCTCTCGAACGTATAGATCTAAAAAATCTTCTTAAATATTTTATTTTGTTATATCTCAACATTGTTTTCTTAAGCGCATTAGAACTACCGAAGAAGTCATAATTATTAGTTTTTATTTCAACAAAATTTCTTTGAAATTTATTGTATAAAACAATTTTTAAGAAGAAAAATACAAATTAATATGTATTAATTATAATAAAATGGAAATTGTTTATGTATAGTTGATTTATGATTTGCAAGTGTTCGAGATTGACAAAAACTTTTACCACATTCTAAACATTGATATGGTTTATCTATGAGAGAGAAAAAACAAAATTTCAAGATATTATTTCAATTTTTCATAAAACAAACTTTTATTTACTTTTCGAATGAGTATATCTAAGAAAATAAAATTAAAAAAAATTCTATTCATTAAAGAAAATAAAACTTACTTATGATCTCTTAAATGATCTTGTCGTCGAAATGCTTTATAACATATATCACATGTAAATGGTCTTTCATTAGTATGTGTTCGTATATGAATTAATAAGTTATAAGATTTTGTAAAACAACGATTACAATATTGACAAATATATTCTTTCGATCTTTTTTTACTTAATAAAATTTATTGAATAAGTTTTAAAAAAATTTAATAGAAAAATAGTATTTACTGTTTAATATCATCGATACTGTTATTTGATAAAACATTCGGATTCGTCACTAATATAGATTCATTGTCTAACTCTCTGGTTTTATTACTAAAAATAAAAAAAAAAACGAAATACTGTGTCATCGTTCAAGTCTATTTTCAATTTTTTCCACTGCCGTCAATATAAATTAGACTTCAAATAGTGATTTGTATAGAGACGATAAAAATGATTGCAAGTTTTTCCAAAGAAAGGGTCTCTGAAAAACTGAAACTTAAGTTTTTTAGGATGTTTTTTGATCTAGATACATCAATCTTAGATAAGGCACAAAACGATATTTCTATACGAAATAGCAGACAAAACGATTTTGGTGCTGTTGGTAAGATGAATGTATCTCGGCCAAAAAACCTCGTAGGCCATTGATTCCAAAAACTGAAGAATTTGAGTTGTGACTTTTCAAAGATCTTATTCTTAAAGGTTCTAACACTCATTTTCATCCTCAAAAATTTGTTTTTGGAAATTATATTGTCTACACAAATAACTATTTGAATATTTATGGCAGTCAGGGATAATTTCTCGCAAAATTCAGTCAGTTTTAACAAAAATCTTCCAATAAATATCTTGATCATCAACTCTTTTGAAAGCCATTTATATATAATACTTACGAATAAGTAGTAGCTGAAAGTAATGAAACACTACTTGTGATTGCAGCTGGAATGGATGGAGGTGATGGTATTGATAAATGATTAACATTCAATGATAATTCTGAATTCGATAAATCTTCTTTGTCTTTAATAACTTCATCAGCTAATTTAGCAAAATTAAAACGTTGTTTTGATGTAATTATTGATCGTTTTTTTTCTTGATCAATGATTTGATAATTTTGAAGATTAAATAAATCATAAAATGTTCGAGTTGTTTTATTTAATGAATGTATTGGTGAATAAATATTTATTAAAGTATCAATTTCTGTATTATTTAATGAAATAGCTGTTTTAGACAAAGAATTCAATGGAAAACATATTGCATTTGGATTTGTTAAAAAAACAGGTAACATATAAGAAGAATTTCTTTCTATCTAAATAGATCATTTTCTTAATGTTTTCGAATTCAACAAAAACTACTATAATAGATTACAATAGTCACTACAATACTTCAAAATTTCTTATTTCTTCTGACTTTTTGTGCATATAAAAGTTACAAAAAACGAAAAAGATATACCTGCTTAGAATTAGTTCCTAATTTTTCCCTCTTTTCTCTATTGAGTGCATCCTAATGAGTATGAGCAGTGAAACTCTCTGCCAATTCGTTATAATAAAAAAAAAGAAGCAATAACTACCAATAAGAATAATTCTCCAATGAAAAAAAAAAAGAAGAGAAATTAGATATATATGTACATGCATTAGCAAGTGAAGTTTCAAGTGTACATAAAAGTTCAATAAAATCGTATAGCTCAGGGGTGACCCCCCCAATGTTGAAAAATTTTCTTTTTTCCCCAGCAAAATTTCAACATTTTTTCAGTTTTTTTGCTCACTAACTATCAAAACAATCTCACTCCCCTCCCCAATCTTGGCAACCTCGGGACACCCCTGTATAAACCGAACATTCGATACAACGATCATAATACCACAAAACAGATCTATCGAGAGAAATCCTATCAGGGTTTTGTCTAATGTCATTGAGTCTTACATATGAACAAAATATTACTTCGATCAGAGATTAACAGTTAGATATAGAAATTGCAATAATTTTTTGTTGTAGATCTCTGCTCTTTGAATAAAATGAAATTTTTGAATTCTAATTTGAGACTTTATCTATATCAAAATCTTAACTAGTCTAGATTTTATAACTAAAATTTCAAAGAATAATCTCAGCATGGCAATTAGTATCTCTGTCTTGATCAAACGATCAATATATGTGTGTATCGATCCATGACGAAATTGAAGAAGATTCATAAATGAGCATTATGTTTTTTTTTTACATATTTCTCTTATTAATCTCTCACGTTCATTTACCGTCACGAAATAAATCAAATCAATTATATATATGCACACATATCACATCAGAAAAGCACTGTTTAATGTTTCTTCTAATATGAGCACGTTTCATCCATGTAATACTGATATTTTCATCTTTTTGAAATTATAAATTAACTCTATTTTTATTCCATCATAAAATAATTTCTAACCTTTTTGATTTTGTTACTGTTGCTTACTTGATGAGGTAATTCATTTTTATACAAGAAAATATTGTTCACTTGAATTAAATAAGAGTGATAAAATTTCACACTGTTTTACAACAAATTATGTTTCATCTTTTCAAATTTCTCTCATCGACTTATCCATTTATGTTAGCACCTTTTAAAGGCTAATCAATTTTATCGATATAAATATAATATTGATTTGACACATCATACATATCTAAAAATTCTTAGAGTGAGAAAGATAACAACACCTTTTACTTGATCTGTTTACCCATTAGGGTGTTTTTTTTTCTTTTTTTGAAATTATTGAGCAATAAAACATAATAAGATGGCATACATTTCATTGATTAATTTAAAGTATTAAGATTACACACAAATTTTCATTAAAAATCGTTATCTGTTGAGATCGTGAATAAACAATGAAACCAAAATAGTCATTTTTGTAGCTGTCAATGTTATAGAATAACTTGTGGCACATCGAGTGTTTATATAGAAAGTTGCATTTTTAACATACTGTGAAGCTATATATCAGCTATGGAATATTAAAATAATTCTGAGTAGTTTTATTTAATGTTATGAGTCAGCATCTTTCCAAATTGATCTATATCATTTTTTTTTGCTTTAAATTAGTTCAATAGAGTTTTGTCTAGTGCTCATTTGCGCATATCTAATAATTCTTACAATAGCTATTTTCGTTAGCCAGAACCTTAGAATTATTAAGTAGCGATATAGTTTTGTCCGACATTATATCACATCAAACTCTATCAGAGTGAAATTAACTAATCAATGACTTTAAAAAATCAATTTTTCGATTTTCAACTTTTTTCTGTATACATAAGTCTTTCGTAAAAGAAAAAAGTTTCTTACGTTCGAATCCTTAGAGTAGGATACAAGAACATTTGCACTAGTCTGTTTTTGGTCATTGATGAACTAGCTTCAATTCAGACGAAAATAAATTGGTATAATTATAGAGTTTGATGTTATACTCTCGCTCATCTGTGTCTGCAGCAGTGATATCCAAGAATTTCGAACAATGAAAAAACCTCTAAATAGAAAATTAGACAAAATTCTATTAAAGTAATCTTAAACAAAATTTTATATAGATTGTTTTGGAAATATATTAAATTGATAAAAATAATACTTACTATACACCAATCAATACACCACGAATGTGTTCTACAAAACAATGTAGGTAACTTTTTAAATGTAGAGTGATCATTTTATCCGGCAAAATTCTTCAAAATTAAATTATTGAAATATAAAATAGAATTTTTTTAACGTACGATTGATCTAATTGCAATTATTTGTTGTAACCGGTATATCATTCCGAGTTATGAATAGTATATTAAGAAAGAAGTGTTAGTAGTAACTGCGACATTTAGCTTACTATATGTCTTATAAGACTTGTATGTGAGCAAATGATTATAAATCACAACTCCGTAATTGTAATTTTTTCTAATCTAATAGGATTCTACTTTATGGGCAAAATATCAATACTAAAAACTCTGAATTATGTGTACCTAATACTCAACGGAAGTTATTTCTTTTGATTTAACCAATTTGTATATGATCAAATTGTCAGATGTGATATTAAAAAAGAAGAAGGTCAAAGTTTTATATCAGATTTGATGTGTTCGAGTGACATCTTTCGTAAACAAAATTGAATAATATATTTTATTAATAATACTATAAGTTCTATTTAATAAAAAAAAAAATATAATTTATTACTTAAAGAATAAATCAATATTTAATGCTACATGATGGTAATATTATCATATTGCAAAAAATAATTAGTCAATCATATTTCCAACCAATTGCGCAAGCGTAATAAAGAATGATTAAATTATAACACGAATAGTGGACTTCCTATTTTATTTACTTATAATCCATCATATTATCATACATAACACTAATTATATTTGTTTATTATTATTTATTAATTCAACTACATAGATCATCTCTAGACATTTTAGTAATTTATCAATATATATAATACTATCGAATAATATTAAAACCTTTTTTATTTCAATAGAAATATCATCTTGTGTTCGGCTTTTTTTTTGCCGTATTTTAAACAATGAATCTTGATGCAGTCTCTTTAGCACTTGCTCAAATATCATTTACAATCAAAAGTTTATCAAAAAATAATTTCAAAAATTCTATTACTGAAATATCAAATGTAAATAAATAAAAAGAAAACATATTTTTTCATATATATATAATTTTCTAGCTCATAACTGAATATGGATTTGAAGCTGAACGTCATTTATATCGTACATTATTAACTTATATTGATTTACAATCAATTGAAGAAAATAATTCAATATTAAAACGTTCGGATAATATTCATTTAAATTATTTACAACAAGAAATTTCATCATTAATATTAAAACCAAATTTTATTACATTAATTTGTTATGCTTTTGATACAGCTATAACACAAAAAGTACAAAAATAAAGTTTTAGGAAAATTCCAAAATATTTTCTTTTTTATTGTTATAGTCTTTTAAACTTCCATCATCATCAAATGGATTTTTAACATTATTATGTAAATTATTAAAATTAAATCATGTACAAGAACTTATTTTTGTTCTTGCTTTACAAAATTCAATTCATACAGAAATTCAAATATTAGTTCATGAACATATTCAAAAATGTTTACCTGAATTTATTCAAACAATAATTGAATTTGGTAATATAATTACATTATATCTTTCGATTTATTTCTATTTCTTTTAAAGATCATGGTTTAAAAGAAACAGGTTTAATTGATTTACCTGTTGAAGTACTTCATTTACTTTTAATACAAATTCGACAATATGTATCTAATGAATCATCAATTCTAAATGTTGAACAATATGAACAATTACTCAATTTACTTCGAAAAGGTTCTTTTTCAATAATTATAATCGCAAAAAAAAAAAATATTTAATTAAATATCCTTGTTTTTTTAGAATATCCAATTGAACGAATAGGCAATAATAATTTATTAATTCTTCTTCCTATACTTTATCCATCGAATATTATTTCAAATGATCTCACATCTACACAAATATTATCTGATTCTAGTAATCTTTCAACAGCCGTAGTATGAAAAATAAAAAATAAAAATAATTTATTCTTTTTTTTTTTGTTCTTAAGTGGCAAATGGATGGAATATTATCTGAAGTTATTCTTGAAATGGGTTATGATTTTACATCATCAATTGAACATTGTCGAAATGCATTAGTTCATTTTGGTTTACAAGAATTAAAACCATCAACAATTGCACGAATACTTTCATCAATGATTAAAACACATTCAGGCCTTACTGAAAATACAACAATTTATGTAAATAAAATAAAAATCAAATAGATAATTATCATTAATAAATAGTAGAACAAAAGAAAATATATTCGCGAAGATTTTCTAATAGAAAAATTTGATTGTATAGAGTTCTAGAATTAAAAACCTTTAAGTTTATATTTAATTAAATCTTAACAAGCTTAAGAATTTCAAAGAAGTCTTTAAATTATATCTATAATGGAATTTTCAGCAAGATTGAACTTAAAAAAAAAACTCGTTTTTCAATGATCTACTTTTTCGTTACCGAATTATTGAATTTTGAAAAAATAAATCCTATTTAAATTTACAGTAGAAAATGCATCTAGTAATTATATTTATTTATTTTTTTCGTATTTCAAATCGTTAATATATCTGTTAAATAAAAATTAATTATTGAGATAGAGATATTTTTATTTTGTAATATTATATTACTTACAAATGAAATTATTTAGGATTCTAATGGTATTGAAATGATAACAAATAATGATAAAAATTCATCACAAACATGGAATGTTGATACATTTGTAATAGCTATAAATGATTTGGTATAAAATAAGATAAATTTTTCTTTTTATTATAAAATAATCTTTTTTTTTTAGGTACCAACTGTAAATTGGAAAGATGTTGTAAAAGAATTTGATCATCCAGGATTTTTAGTACGTGATCGACAAGCTCTTATATTACTTGTAACAGCACTTCGTCGAGCATTATCAACTGAACAATATATTGATTTACTTTATGGACGTTGGAATAATGTTGAAGGACAAGTTAGAAAATAAAAAAAAAATTTAACACATTCATTTTTATATTTATTTTATAGTTATCATGGCTTGCTCAAGCAATTCGTTATCCTGATGTATTTTGTTTTGGTGATCATCCAGCACATCCTGTTTTAATTGATTGTCTTAAACATCCACTTGATGATACAAAAGAAACATGGACATGGTAAAAGAAAAAATAAAATAAAAAAAAATATTTGTTTTTTTGAATTTTTTTATTTATTAGGCGTTCATTAAATTTAATTGAATGTTTATTACGTATTGCTGATACAGGTTTATATCCAATTGTACTTGAAATATTTAAACATGGTATTCAACGTTCTGGTGAATTGATTTTTCTTGGTTTATTACAACTTCATGTAAGATTTTTTGGAAAATGAAATTTTAAATGCTTAATTGAAAGAATCTTTAAAAAAAAAAGCAAGATTAGAAATCATAGACCTTCTGTCCAAAGTGATGAGTAGAAAATTGAATAAAGGATTTTTTTTTTTTGTAAATCTAAACTCTTAACTATAAGGAGATTTCATACGATTTTAAGTTAAAATAGTTGATGCTATTGAGAAGTTATCAAAAGGAATGGAAATTTTTTCAAAGATAATTATAATCAATATCTCATTCTATGGTAAAAAACTGTTAACATGATTTCTGCGAGATTAATCAACATATGTTTTGGTTTATAAATTTTCACTTATTGTTAATGCAAGATATTAATCATAATATATTACAGTGAGTAGGAAGCGTCTAAATTTCTATCACAAGTATCGTCACTTTGTAGAGAAGATCTATGGGCTTGAATTATTTGATGGTTATCTATAAGTTTAGTTTGTCATCATTGTATTAATGTTATAGTGAGAATTAGTATAAGTATTAGGAGCTTAGAATTTATTCTAGTCTTAAAAAATGATTTTCAAGTTATTTCATCAATTTCAATATTAAATGATTAGTTGAAAATGTACGACGTGTCTCATTTTGTTGAAATCGATATTTTACTGATCAATAGGATATATTAGTATAACTAAAAGTAGTTGCACTCTTGCGATCTTTCTCCCAAGAAGTTATAATTGACTTCATGAAGTGCGAGTTTTCTTATCAGAGAATCACTCGAATTGATACCCTTCGTTTTAGATTATATTGAACTGATAAGAAAGTCTTTTCGACACAGAATTTTATCTATAGATAGTTCTAATAATTGAAAGAATGTTCTAGAAATTTCATTCGAAAAGAATCTTATTTTATTGAGATATTAAATTTTCAAGGAGATTGAATTTTTTAGAACATATCTCTCTAACAATTGACTATTTTGAAAATTTAATGTCTCGATAAAAGAAAATGATGAATATTAGTTCGAATATTTCTTCTATTACAAATATTTGTAACAAAATCGATCTATCTTTTTTCTCTCATGATTAATCTTCCTGTTATTCTCATCTTTCTCTCTTCTAATTGTGTATGTAAATGATGCGATTGATGATGTAAGGAATCCTAATGTAACATTATTCCATTCGTACTAGTACTTCTTCACTCTAACTAAACAATTCTCGTAGTTCTCTGATCGAAGACGATTATTTCAATGTTAAATCAAAACGTTTTTCTTGTATCGTTATTTTTGTTCAACTATAAAAAGACTTACATTGAAGAATCATCGACACTATACACATCGTTATGATAGCCATCTGTCGATTGAATAGTAGATCATCCATATGTGAGAAGAATATTTTGGAAATATGTATTGCATATATCAATAGATATCCAATGACACGATGTGTATATATATATATTTCGATTCTACAATACTCAGTTCATTTGCAGCACAAAGTTATCGATGACAACACACATAAACAATCTATCCATACAACTAAGTGATAAATTACAAATGCAATGGTTGACTCACAATCCTATTTCGTACTGATTGTCGTGCCAAACGATTATTTATTTCTTTAGTTGACAATTCTTGGTGTCGATTTATTCTTTCAATATGGAATTGTTTACCATATGTAACCTTTCCAAAATGTATTCACCTAATCATGACATGAATTGCTATTACCGACGATTTTAACACATTCGTCTCTTTTGATATGTATGATTCGTTTTATTTTATTTTTTCGTATTCGCTTCCAGACGTTCAGAGAAGCTTCTAGTTTCGATGTAATAACACTGATATATATATATATATATCTGTCTTAGTTACGCATATAAAATTGAATTCTATGCATGTAAACGATGTAAAACAGTCGAATAAACGTAATTCGATTTGCGTTAGTATTTCTCGTGTTAAAAATCGTCATAATCAGAATATTGAAATCTAGAATTTCACAAAATTAATTATAACCCTTCAGGAAGAGAAATAACAAGAGTGCAATTCTTTTCACGCTTATAATTATAATAATAAGACTTTCTATTCATTAGTAAAATATGAGTTCAAATACAATAGAATGCCTACAGAGATTTTCTTGTGAACTGAAAGAAACAACATAAATATTTATCATCAATTAAATAAAAATGAAACTAAATTTTTATTTTATAAAAATTTAGACTATTTGGACAACATTAAAACAAGAATTATTACAATTAATAATACCTACATTTCTTCCCAATAGTCCTAATGCAAATCCACTTCTTAATTACATGTGGAATTCACAAGTAAGATATAAACAACAACACAAAAAAAAGCAAAATTTATTCTTTTAATCTTTTTTATTTTCTTTCTTAAAGCATCATACAACAGCATTACGTACAACATTATTAACAGCATTAGCCGATTGGTATAATCGTTCAAATGATAATGAACAACAGCAACGTCTTAGTCGTGTACTTGAAATTGTACAAGATTTAAAAGCTTTACCTATATTACTTGCAGCACAACCAATAACATTTATTCTTGATTTAGCTTGTTTAGCATCAAGACGTGGTTATTTAAAATTAGATAAATGGTTATCAGATAAATTACGTGAACATCAAGTAAGAAGAGACAAAACAAAAAAAAAATAACATTATTTTATATTTTTTTTTTTTTTGTTTCAGGATTTATTTATTCAAACAACAGTACAATATTTACGTAAAAAAGCTCCACAATTATTACAATTACCTTCAAAAGATGATACAAATTATAAACAAATTTCTAATATTGAAACAATAACTATATTATTAACTGTTCTTCAATTAGCATTACCATCAATAACAAATCTTGATCTAATACAAGAAATTCAAACAATGACATCAACAGCTAAAATTCTTAATAATTTAACACCAGCAAGATCTGAAACATTTCATAGTACATTAACACATCCTTTTACACCATCACCAACCAATGGACTTTCATTATCAACACAACTTCGTTCCTTACAAAGTAAATCATATAGATTTTTTTTTTTTTTTTTTTTGAAATTGTCGCTTTTTACAGAGGGCAAAGAGTCAACCATAATAGAGGATCTATATATGTCGACAGGAATAAGAATTAGACGAAGAACGAGAATAAAATAAAGCGGTCGAGAAGAAGAAAAGGAAAAGAAAAAATAGAGATTCGTCAAAACATCTACCATTATAAAAATAGCATTTTTGACAAAATCATGTAGTAGTCTTATTTGTTCATCATTATTGAGGATCTTATATATATATATATTTATTCCACTATGATATAAATAAAAAAAGAAAATTTTCATTAAGAATATATTAATTAGAAAATAAGAATGAATTTAAGTGAGAAAAATAAATTTTTATTTTTATTTTTTCTCATTTATTATTGTATTTGTTTAAGGTTCAAATAATAATGAATCATCAATAATAAATGAAATATCAGATGTTGATGTTTATTTTAAACGTTTATATTCTAAAACAACAAATCCACCACCAATATCAGTTGATGAATTTCTTGATATAATGACAAAATGTAAAGATTCAACAATACTAAGAGAACGAGTAAGAATTGAAGAAAATTATTATTTTTTTTTTTGGTTTCTTTATTATAGTTAAAATATGTTTTTTTTTTTCTTATAAAAGGAAGTTTTTCAAAATGGAATAAGAAATTTATTTGAAGAATATAAATTTTATCCTCAATATCCTGAAAGAGAATTACTTTTAACAGCACAATTATTTGGTGGATTTTTTGAACGTGGTTTATTTCAAAGTCAAGTTTTTGTTGCAGCATTTCGAGTTATACTTGAAGGATTAAAAAAACAAGTTGGATCGAATCTTTGGAATTTTTCTGTAGCAGCACTTAATCGATGTAAAACAAGGTGAGATATTTTCTAAATTAAAAAAAACAAACAAACAAACAAACATGTACTACAAGAAAAAATGAGAAAATCTAATGTTTTCAACATTCGATAGCTCAATACGAACATATTCTTTTGTCGTATAAGGAAAACATGCTCGATCAAATTTGATTATGATATCATATTCAGTAGTTATGCACATCCTAAAATTTAATGATAGTTTATCTGGACATTCAGATACAAGTAATTAGATTCAATTCAAAAGACACTATTTTTTTCTTCTAAAAATCTGCTATGTGATATTATCTATGGTGAATATCATGAGACCAACTTTGGGCGTTACTTACCGACAAAGGTCTTCATATAGATAATTCTCATGACCATTATTTTCTTTCTTGAGATATTAAATATTTAAAAAAACGATCATATGTCACAACTAGAGGTAGAAAGTTTAGTACTTTCAATATTTGAAGAAGGCAAAATTTTGACAATATTGTTTTGACCATAAGAACTATCTATAGACAAATTTTCAGATCATAATTAAACTCTTTCATAAACATCATAACCTACAAACTAACGAGGGAACCTTTCCAACTGTCAAATCGTGAGTATGTACATAATGTAGGTCTTAACGAGCTATGAATACCCTGACAAGGGTTCGTGTTGCTGCCGAGATATTTTATTCTAGCAACCTTTCTAAACAGAAAGTCGTGATCCTGCTCAGGAACATTAGAAAGCTAAGTTTCGAATTTTGAATTCAAACTTTGTACAGGAAAAGGTCTCCATGAGAATAGTTTATTGTGAAAGTTTCAGACATTTTGATTGGTCCTAGTCTGAAATAAGCACATCAGTGTATATGAGCGATGTACAAGCATGGTTTTACCATAGCTGTATCTTAAGATAGGAACAAGCAAAAGATCTGAAGCTTTCACAATAAACTATTCTCATTGAGATCTTCCTCTGTGCAAAGTTTCAAGTAAAAACTCAAAACTCAGTTTTCTAATGTTTTTGAGGGGGACCACGGCTTTCTGTTTAAAAAGGCCATGAAAATACAATATCTCGGCAGCAATAAGCTAGCAGCATGAGTCCTTTTCAGGGTCATTAGGATCTACATTATACACATACTCATGACTTGACAATTGGAAAGGTTCTCTCGTAAGATACATCTGACTGAAAACGATGTGTGATAGTTGATGATCTTCCGTTGTACAACTTACACATAGTTAATCTATTCTTTCTAGAATAATAAGTCTCTTAAAAAAAAAACAAATATTTCCAAAACTTTGAAAATGAAAATTTTACGTTTATGATAATCTTTTGAATAAATTATTTTTATTTATTTATTTTTTAATTTAGAATTCGTGAACAATCAACTTTTCTTCAAGCATTACGAAATTTACCAACTTATTCTGAACTTCCACCAGCAATAGTTGATTATCTTGATTATAATTCTAAACCAACAATTTCACAAACATTTGATCCATTACGTACATTAACACCACCAAATTTACCATCACAACCAGTAGCTACTAGTCCACATTCACATCTATTTTCAAGAATGAATAGTGTACCATCGATGACAACACCTAATCAACAACAATTTAATCCAATTGGAAAAGAAAATACTGCACAAAAAGGCGTATGTTTAATTATAATGAAAAGAAAAGTACACATATTTATTTATTTTTAGCCATCATTAACACAAAATGCAAATATTCGTACATTAATCAATGATCCAAGTTATAATCTTGTTCGAATAAAACAACCACCTGAACATATTAATGATAAAATTGCATTTACATTTAATAATTTATCACTTTCAAATCTTTCACAAAAGGTTTTGTATTTTTCAAAACAAAAAAAAAGAAAAATAAAATCTTTTTTTTTCTTCTTTCTATGTAAAATTTTAGGCACAAGAATTAAAAGATTTATTAAATAATGATGAACAATTATGGAAATGGGTTGCACAATATTTAGTTATAAAACGTGTTTCATTAGAACATAATTTTCATTCATTATATGCTGGTTTTCTTAATACACTTAATATAAATATTCTTTTTGATACAGTTTTAAGTGAAACACATCGAAATATAAAAGTAAAAAAAAAAAAAGAAAAAATTTAATTTTCTTTTCTCGAAAAAAAAAACTTAAAAAATTCTTCTATTTAGATTCTTTTATTAAGTGATAAACAGATCAATAATATTCCTGATCGTTCACTATTAAAAAATCTTGGTCATTGGCTTGGAATGATTACAATCGGAAGAAATAAACCAATTCTTGCTACGGTTTGTAGAAAACTGAAAAAAAAAACAACAACAAATAGGTTTGACCGTAATCCTTAGACAAATGATCTCTAATATTTGCGGAATTTAAAGCTTATTTAAATATTATCATTAATCAACTCAGTATGGTCAATAACCCTTCTCTAGACAGAATTTTTGAGTCACCCTGCATCTCCTATTGTGGGCGAGTTATTCAAGTTGTTGTATTTCATTGTCTATTTTGAAATATCGGTGCAGAATCTATAGAATAAAATCATGTTTTTTTTTTTTTTTTCTAGGATTTAGAAATTAAATCTTTAATCATTGAAGCATATCATATGGGTCCACAAGAATTATTATATATTATACCATTTGTTTCAAAAATTTTAGAATCATGTGCAAAAAGCAAAGTAAAAAATAAAATAAAATATTTGTTTGATATATTTCACAAAAAATTAAAATAGATTTTTCAACAACCAAATCCATGGTTAATGGGTATTATGTCTATTCTTGCAGAAATGCATGGAACACCAGATTTTAAATTAAATTTAAAATTTGAAATTGAAGTTCTTTGTAAACAATTAGAAATTCAATTAAATGTAAGTCATATATATATATGTAATTTCTATTAATATAATCAATTATTCTAATACCTCTTGCGAGGGAATCTCTTGAAATGTTAATCGCCGATCGAGCTCATATTTTGTCTATAAGTAAGACTCGATGAGACGTGCAGAAACCCGAAAGGATTCATCCCCATACGCTGTCTTTCCGAAGTTACGACTGTGTTACTGGTTTTTCGACCTCTGGCAATAGTATTTAAAGGGAAGCACAATAATGGAATTTTGCCCATAAACAGGTTTCATGGTCACTAGAATGTTCTAAAAGTTTCAGCTAAAATGAATGTTTCTTTCTCAAGATATTGAATTTTCAAGGAACGCTCATATTTCCAAAGGTAAAGGTCAAAAAAATCGAGCTTCTTGAAAACTCAATATTTTGAGAAAGAAACGTTCATTTCAGCTGAAACTTTTAGAACATTCTAGTGACCATGAAACCTATTTATGGACAAAATTCCATTATTGTACTTCCCTATAAATACTATTGCCAGAGGTCGAAAAACCCATAACACAGTCGCAACTTCAGAAGGATAGCGTATTGGAACGAATCCTTCCGGGCTTCTGCTAGTCTCATCGAGTCTTACTTATGGACAAAATATGAGCTCGATCGGCGATTAACACTTGGAGAGATTCCCTTATTAGACCCTAAATGAATTTTGTTTAATAAAGCTAGATATAACGATTTTATGTAATAATCATTTTTTAATCCTTAAACTTTCATTCGTAACATTTAGTAGAGATTTTCTTTTCATGATATCAAAGAACGATAATATTTAAGAAAAATCAATCAAATGAAAATTTTGTTTTTGTTTTTTCTTTCTCAGGAACTTCCAATTCATCATATATTAATTAACAAAGAATATTTTGATAAAATTGAAAAACAATTATCAAATCTAACTTCTCAAGTTACATCTATACCACCATCTATTACTCCATCAACACAAGCATCATTATCATCAACAACAACAACAACATCAACAACAACAACAATGACATCAACAATAACAACAATATCTGAACCACAATTTCGATTATCAGATTTTAAACCATCAACATTTCAATCATTAAGTTCTATGCTTAAAATAAATTCAAATATAGCACTTTTTCGTATACATCCAAATCTTAAAACTCATATATATTCTCCAATTGAACAAGCAATTAATGAAAGTTTTCAAACTGTTCAACGTTCACTTAAAGTAGCAACAACAGCAGCTGAAACAATAGCACGTAAAGATTTTCTTTTAAATCCAGATGAACAACAATTACGTACATCAGCACGTAATATGGTTGCTTATTTAAGTAGTGGTCTTGTTCTTATAACAGCACGTTCAGCATTACAAGATCAAATACAATCCTATATTAAATCTCATTTTTCTACTGTACTTGGTATATCTCAAACATCAACAATAAATAATAATAATAATAGTAATAATACTAATAATGAACAAACAGCAACAATTGAAATGATACAACAAGCTGCTAATGAAATTGCAACATCAAATATTGAATTATGTTGTTGTCTTTTACAACGAATAACAATAAGTCGTGCTATACAATTAATTGATCAACGTTTGGCAAGTGATATTGAATTACGACAACGTTGTAGAGCTGATGGACGACAATTACCTATGACAAATACTATCAATGAAGAAAGATTACCAGAACAAATTCGTTTACATCATGGACCATTTTCACCACATCAATTAGCTATTTATGAAGATTTTGTTCATTTTATTCCAGGTTTTAAACCGAATGATAGTGAAAAACGAGATTTAACCACGGTAATTTGTTTATAAATTTATTTAATTGAACAAAAGAACATATTAGAGATATAACAAGACTGAAGACTCTCTAACCAAGATCGAAATTTTTTTGCTTAGCTTGATTTCGACCTTGGTTAGGAAGTCTTCAGTCTCGATACATTCCTAATGATGAGATATTATATTAGAAGTAATAGGTAAAGTCTCAATATTGATAGAATCGGCTTCAATACAATATAAACATATAGTGAGCAAGATACCATCCAAACAAATTTCTTTATCAAATATTATTTATTGTCAGAAGCTAGGCTCACAATTCCATTGTTTGGACTCGTTTAGTTACGTTTTCAGAATCAGTTAGAAAGTTCGTTAAAATAATAGCAACTTAGAAAAAAGAAAAAGAAATGCGATGATCATACTTGATCAGAATTGTCAATGTATTTTGTTTTTAGAAAGGGAACTAAAAACTCAGTTCTGCTATGATTGATCTAATATCTATATATAAGATTTACATTTTCGTAATAATTTTATATAATCTAATTGATAAAAGAAAAAAAAAATTTTTTTGTTTAGATGGATGAAACTGTTCCATCTGTATGGGATCGTTTAATATCTGATATTGATCAAACAATTCAAAGTCAACGTAATCAATTATTTACAACAGCATTTCAACGTTTATTAGAAAGTGTTAATTTATTACGATCTAATTTACAAAATCAAACATCAACAAATGCACCACAAGCAGCATTAACAAATTTATTAAATATGATACTTTATAATTATCTTGAACATTATACAGTACAATCTCAAATGCAAGATAATGAAAGTTTTGAACGTTTTAAAACAATACATATGAATGTATTAAAATTACTTATTGAAATACGTTTACCATTAGCATTTATTAATAAACAATTAACAAAATCATGGTTAGAATGTATTAATGAATTTAAATTTAATATATTTGCTGTTCATCATTTAATACGTAATCGTCTTCTTGATATACGACAAATTGATGGACAAATATCTCAATTAATTGATTCAGGAAGTAATTCAGCACTTCATTTTGCTGTTAATTTTCTTCGTAGTTGTGTTATTGAACAACCATGTTGTTCTGATAATGATATACCATTAATACTTGATTCTCTTCATCGTATATCATTAATTGGTAAACAACCAGCTGAAGCTGTTCGTGATTTACTTGAAATAATACGTTTAAATTATACATCATTAAATGATTCAAATGAAAATAAAATTGATAAATTAGCTATATTATCATTATCAGTTATAAATAATGGTATGAAATATTTATCAATTGATGATATTGAAACAGTAACAATTGTTAATAAAGCTAAAACTATTTTAAATGAATGGGTTAATTTAACAATGACACCAATTAATCGTATTAGTCAACAACAAGCTTTTCAAGAATATTTTAATCAGGTTTAAATATTATTTAAATATTATTTTATATTTATTACATTTTGTTTATTTAGATGACTCTTCAAGGAATATTTCGTTCAGATGATACAATAGCAAAATTTCTTCGTACAACAATTCAATTATGTATTAATAATGTTTATGATGTTGTACAACAAAATTCATCATCAACACAACAACAACAACAACAACAACAACAACAAACACAATATATTCGTTGTCATCAAGGAATTGATTCTCTATGTCGATTTTTATATTTATTAACAGTACATACATCTGATAATAATAATTATGGTGCACGTATACATTTAATAAATTGTATATTAGGTTTATTAGCTACACTTTGCTTTTTGGATCATGAAGAACGTGGAGATCAATTTCATCCACTTGCATATCAAAGAATTATTTTAAATTTATTTCAAGAATCAACAAATGCTGTTTCATTAAATGTAACAAAGTAAGAAAAACTATTATTCATATCCATGTCTTCGATGATTCGTTTGGAATTATAAGTCAAGGATGTCACAGACTATAATAAACATCGAATGAATGAATCTATAAAAAATTTTAATCTTGCAATTATAATTGAGATTATTCTTTCAAACTTTAATACCATCAACTATGGAATCAACCTGGACAAGTCATTAATGACTGTTTATCTCGAATCATCCATACGATAGTATGGTAATTGCGTTCGATAGGATCCGATGGGCTCTAGTCATTCGATACTATAGCGTAGCTGAAAGACAGACATATCCTTCAAATCATCGAAAATTGTTCATAACAAATCTGTTTGTTTTGTTTATCACTAAACTTTCTCTCTCTTTTTTTTTTTTGTATAGTTCGACATCCGTTGGTGATAATACATCATCTAATGATCAAGTAATGTATTATATTTATTTGGCATTTACAAATTGTTTACATCTTTTACGTCCTCAACGAGTAACCGGTTTTGCTTTTGCATGGCTTGAAATTGTTGCTCATCGAACATTAATGTCACGTTTTTTATTATATGGTGGTCGAAATTATCGTCAAATTCAAAATATGTATTCATTACTTCTTGTTGATGCATTACGTCTTGTTGCTCCATTTATACGTTCCGGTGAAAATACTCTATCATTTCAAGTTTATTATAAAGGTATATTAAAAACATTTATGTTATTATTACATGATTTTCCGGAATTTTTATGTGAACATTATTATGAATTTTGTGATTCATTACCATTAATATCACATCAATTACGTAATATAATATTATCATCATTTCCAAAACATATACGTTGTCCTGATCCCGTTAAAGTTAATATTAAAATAGATATGCTTAATGATATATCAACAACACCAACAATATCATATAATTATTCATTAAATATTCAACCATCAAAATTTAAAACAAATCTTGATTCATATTTACGTACACGTTCACCAGTAACATTTTTATCTGAATTACGTTCATATTTACAACAAGGTGCTGATCCTGGTTCACATTATAATATACGAATGTTAAATGCACTTGTTTTATATGTTGCTACACAAGCATTATCAACAATAAATAATAAACAACCATTAATGTCATCTATAACACATACAGCACATATGGATATATTTCAAAATTTAGCTGTTGATTTAGATACAGAAGGACGATATTTATTTTTAAATGCTATGGCTAATCATTTAAGATATCCAAATACACATACACATTATTTTAGTTATACAATATTATATTTATTTGCTGAAGCTAATTCAGAAGCTTTACAAGAACAAATTGTTCGGTAAAAATGATGTTTTAAAATAAAAAGAATAAGTTTTATTTGATTCTTTTTTTTTTTTTTGTAGAGTTTTACTTGAACGACTTGTTGCAAATCGTCCACATCCATGGGGTTTATTAGTTACATTTTTAGAACTTGTACGAAATCCAAATTTAAAATTATGGTCAAGAGAATTTATGAGTATTTCACCTGATGTTAAACGGTAATAAATGATTAAGTATTCTATTTGAGAAACAAAAAAAAAACATCACATAGTCATCGATAATATTGTTCGTTAAGGCTTCCTCTCGTCAAAAATCGATCTCAACCCAGGAGTATCCAAATTGCATAAAACTTTCAGAATATGTTAGAACTGGTGAACGATGGCTATGGTAAAATTTTCAGTCCTACATCATGACGTTTGACAGAGATATTCATCAAATACGGGTCAAATATAGCTGTTTAGTATCTCCAAGTTTTCTCTGTGGACCTTTTTTTAGATATTTAATTTTTTTTTTTGTTTGAAAGAATATGTCAGAATGCAGCGACTCTCGTGGCCTCCGTCTTACTCTTTAAGAGAAAAAAAAATGAGGCGAAAGTTCAATGACTCAAAAAACTCCTCTAAAAATTGCGTTGTTCCGATAGAGGTGTTATCTTTTATGATAATAAAAAAGAACCACGAATGTCGCTAGCCTTGAACATTAGCTTTCAAACAAAAAAAAATGATATTTGACTTTATCTCTTACTGAGATAGACTTCTGCTGGAGATACGTCGTTGAACCCACGTTCTGAGAAAACCGAAAAATGATTTTCAGTTTTTTGTAAAAACGGCCTGTTTTTCGAATAGAGGGTGAGGAAAATCTTCCAAAGTTTTTGGAAAAAAAGAGATGCCGAATAAAAATTTTTGTCACATATGAGAGAGTAGATGAAAGGTATATTTCTCCATGAAATTATCTCAATTCCGATGATTCTGGCAGGGGTCGCAGCGGCCTAGTATGCAAAATCAGGAATCAGGACAGGAATTTTCAAGAAAAAAATCAGGATTTGACCGAATAAATCAGGATTCTCAAAACATAGGCACTATTCATCGAAAGTGCACATCATTTCGCAATAGGAATTACGAAATGTCAAACGGTACTCATTCTTTACCCTATTCCAGCAGTTGACAACATCCTTAAAATAGGAAGTCGTACCATTTCCCACAGGAAATCGGTACCCCATAGAATTTTAAGAGAAAATCGTCCTCCCATTGCTTCAGTGTTTCGAAAGCATAACAATCACGTAACATAGCTAGCTTAACTCTTAGTGAAACAATTAAACAAAGCGCGAAATAACAAAACAAAAACGCTGAAACATTGTGATGATTTCCAGCTCGTCGATAGGCAATCGTAAAATCAACAAATATTTCGTTCTAGAAGGTCGAGTGTCAACAGAAATCGTCAATTCCAAGCAGACATTGTTGAAACATCGTCATGATGTCCCAACGATGTTCTCTGGACTAGACTAGAATAACCCTAAGTTGGCTCGCTTGCCTGAGTCTTTAGGACTGAGTTATGACCACTTTATTGGATTTTAGTCCTATGAGGTCAGGTTATCTGCAACAGCAAATATGCGGATTTCGACCTGAAATTTTGTCTATAAATAAATCTAATGTCCACTAAGATACCTTAAAAGATTCAGACAAAACGAATGCATCCTTCTTAAGATGTTGAATATCCAAATATTCCGATTTTTGTGAATTTTTTTCTGAGAAATAGGCAGTTTTTTGAAAACTAAATATCTCAAGAATGTATTCGTTTTGCCTCAACCTCTTAAGGTATCCTTGTGGCCATTAGATTTATTTATAGACAAAATTTCAGCGCGAAATCTACATATTTGCTGTGCCAGATAACCTAGTGTCATAAGTCCAGAATCCATGATAAATCAAGTCCAAATGGCTAGGCAAACGAGCCAACTTAAGGTTATTCCAGCCCCGAGGTCCCAAGATATAGCCAAAATATCGGGTCAAAAGCAAGGGGACATCTTGAGAAGTTCATTCGTGAGATTCGTCGACGGCAATCCAACGAAGAGAGTTGATTATTCATCGGACTCTCGACTTCCAGATCTACTAACTAACTAACTTGTGCCTGTCTTTTCTTTTTTTTCTTACTATATAATGATACAAGATTTTGTATGAATCTTGTAAAAAAAAAAAAGATGAATTTTTTCATATATTCACCGACATTTTTCAGTTCGTAAAGAACTTTATCTATTCTTCAAACAAGATGAACAACACGATCATTGAAAAAATAGCATCTTCATCAATTCAAGACAGAATTTCTGTAACGCCTCCACTGATACTAAACCGAAATTTTCTAGAGAAATTATTTAGTTTCGAAAAGCACCAAAAATCAGGAAATCAGGATCTTGTACCAAAATCAGGATGAATCAGGACGACTACGAAAAATCAGGAAATCAGGACCGCTGCGAGGACTGTTCTGGAGAAAAGTTACTTTTTTTAGAAGAGGTCTTAACATTAGACTTTATTAAATATTTTGATTTGAATAAAAATGACTTTATTTACGTCTCAAAATCAGTTTTTCCAAATGTTACCGTCTGATTTCTTGTTTCTAAGTTAATCTTCTGTTGTCGTCGTCACCGATGATGTATTGGCTTATAGTTCTCGAATAAAATTCTTGTACAACATATCATTAATGACTCTATTTGATTTTAGTTTATTAGCAACACTTACTCATGGTTTTCCACAATTTCCAACATCACCAATGTCTTCACAACAACCAGCGATTGTTAAACCCTAGTCAAAAATATTCTTCTTTTTTGTTTTCCTTTAATTTATATGAACTTGTTTAAAGTTGAACATTATTTGATTATAAGTCATTATATGTGAATTTTCTATGATATCAAAAGCAAAAGACAACAATATTCTGATTTGAGTGAATTTTTTTTTGTCTCATATTTTCCCCGTCTATTTGTTTTTCTTTTTCTTATACATTCATTCTTATTATTCAAAACAAAATTTTTTTGACTAGTATTTATATAGAAAACAAAATATCTCTTTGTTGAGCATGAAATATTGTATTTCATTGTTCTATATTTTTTTTTCTGTTGGATACACCCAACGTTGTGAATAGATAAAGATAATAGGATGGTTTTTTCTTTCTTGATAAATGTTTGGTGTACTCAACAGGAAAAATTTTGCTATTGTTAATATGCCTCTTCAAGTTCTTGGGTTCTTTCTTTCTTTTTTGTTGTATGTGTGTGTGTGTGGCCTTTCTTGAAAAAAATAACCAAAACTGAAAAACACGATTGTATGATGTATATTGGCTAAATAAAATTTTTTTTAACTAATGAAAAAAAGATTTAGATTTATTCGGCTTGAGTTTAAAACTCACCGACGAAATAGCAGGAACGATATGCAAATTTTTATACATATGTTTAGTTTGAAAAACTATCATCAGATTAAAGGAGAAGATATCATTTTCTATTGTACTGGAGGACTAAGTGTATTAACAAGAAAATTCAACAAAAACTATTTGACTTGGAATATTGTGTATAATTGGTTCTTAGAACCGTGAATGTGTTACGAAGAAAATAATCGTTCTAATAGATATTTTTAGGACAACTGGATCTACTTATATGTTGAGTTTCAAGAAAAAACTCATTTATTGGATTTTTTCGATAATATCCAGTTGTATGATTGAAATCCAGTAAAATCGTCGTAAATCAGCGGAAACACGTAATGAAACAAAATTCTTTTCTATGTTTTGTTTCTTGTAGGTCCTTTCTATATGCCTAAATAATAAGGTGAAAAATGATGTATGAGTTCAGATAGAGATTCTCGTGTATTAAATGCATGTTTTATATATAGTGAAAGTTTTATGATAGAGATTTCCATCTGTTTTACAGATATCAGAGTCGTTCTTCTTTTAAAAGTTCTTATCGTCTATTGATTTATTTCAATAGAACAGTATAATCCGAGGAATCATATTAGTAAGGCATCTTTTTTTTTCTTAAAATCAAAGCATGTAGTACTAACTTATTTGAATCACAATAAAAAATAGAAGTTTATCCTCCATATTTATCAGAGACGGGATTGGTTAGTGTTTTGTTGGAACTGAATCAACCTTGTTTTTACAAAAAAAAACAAGCCAAACTTATTTCATCGTGCATATTTGTGTCTGCAGTTCCAAACCATGTCTACATACTGTATGCAAGTGTTTCAATGAATTCCTCTGCATAGAAAATTCATATGAAGATATGCATAATATCTAAAAGCCAATATGCGGTCCGAGTGGACGATGACTATGACCCAAAATGAGTTGCAGAGGCAAACAGTCTCATAATGTGCTACTGATGGGTTGCACACCTGCCGGATAACAATAATGTGATTATTTCATTCGATACAGGAGGATTTCTTTTCTCTCATTTCTTGTCAAGAGAAATTAGCAGACTTTATGGATGTTGAAATGTCTCTTGAAGTTTCTGGAACTCTTTGCACCTTCACATTCAATGTAGCTTTCTGGCGTTCAAGCATGAATGTGTGTGTGGGTCTTCTTTTCCAGTACACATTCTCACAGATCTGGCTAAAAATTGTAAGCGTAGTTAATCGAAATTGCATAAGGAACAACTACTTTAATCGTAACTTATTGATGTCAGCATGCCTATCGAGACGAATATTCGTTAGCTGACATCATCTCACATTTAGCATTTCTCAAATAATGATACATCGGCCTATTTTGACGTGCAAGTGTCAATAATCTCAGTGATTGGTATATGGCTATTGAGATTTAGACAATCATTTCGGCAAAGTATAGACTTGTTTTGATTGGATGTTTATATCTTTTACGTGCATTCATCGTCGTGGATACTTTGTATTGAAATAATATACATAACCAGTACATCATTCTATTAATTGTTGACTATAGTCTGTTCAAACTAAGCCTGAATCATTCAAATGTTAACATGATGAGTCGTTTCCTCACAAAATGCTTTTGACTATTAGGAATAAGCAAAATAATGTTGATGTACTCTATTCGTTTCTGAATGTCAACCAAAGATTCAATTAAATGACCCGTAACATAATCTATACTAGATCTAAAGAGTGAAAATGTCCGAGCTCTACACATAACAAGGTGTTTATTGGCTGTTTCGATACGAGATCGCTTCCAAGGGGGAAACAACGTACTCTGGTACTCCTACGGTACACGGATTCCAGTAGAATATCCACAGTACAGTGAAGCACGTAGAGTCTAATGGAGTACAGAGTCCAGTAAGAGTAAATCAAGGAGGGGCAACATAGCCCAGTACTTTCGTACTTCCATCTTACTCTATGGACTTCGCGGACTCCGATTGTACTCCGTAAATTCAGTGCATTCCGAAAGTAAAGTCTAATGACTAGAAGGACTACATATGAAAAAAATTTCAGAATGAACTTTTGTTATTCAGTTTTTCCCTATATACCTTGTAGTAGGTGGAAAATCAGTAAAATGATCATAACCTTCAAAGGAAGCTCCATCAGCACAAACTCTTTTAATATTCTTCTTAGAATACTGTTCCCGACATATATGTCACAAAATATCATTGAAAACAGCATGAATCAGTTGCGAACATATCCTCATCAGTCTAATATCAGACATACTATTATGTGAAGTCGTTTTGATAAGTTTCCTGTTTTGGTAAAGGCAGTAGATGCTTCTGAGTGTTATTTCATTTTCGTGTACAAAACACACTAATAAAACTCTCATGTTATATCATTATTCAGTGATAACCTTGATACAAAGTATGACATTATAAGCATATACAGCGGGAAAAGACTGTTGTCCGAAAGTATAAAATGATTTGTTTCATACTTTTGTAATTTTCTCGTTTGTAAAAACATACCAAGTGGCAGAATCTTTTTTTTTCGTTCGAAACAGATAACGTAAGTAGATGTGAATAACTTTCGTAGTAAGAGCTAACACAAATTGCAATACATACTACAAATATCGAGAGATTTAGCTTTTAAATAGCACTTCGAAAACTCATTTTAATATGTTTCAGAACATATTACAGAGTGATTTCAAACTTCACATAACATTTTTGAAAACTTTTCTGCAAAGTACCGTGGAGACATTGCTGAAACTCATGAAATACTATAAACTGACGCGAATTATTTCTGTTATTTCGTTTTTTTTGTGACAAACTTCATAGCATCAGTGAGCTCATTTACATGTCACAACTAGGTTTGTGTCGAATTTGAACATTTGAATTTGATAAATTTTCTTCAATGTTTGTTGACTCGGGTTTGGGCATTTTTGTTTAAAAGCAATGTAACTATGTAATCAATCCTCATTAGAGATTATATAGCTTTCTGAAAATTTTAGATTAAGAAATATATTTTAGTTTGTCTCTCTTACATGCAAAACTGTAGTTCTTCTGAGTTATATGCATCGCTACCTTACTAATTTATTATTTGCTAACAAGAAGTTTTTTCCAAGTAATAAACTACTAAAACACATATTCTTTAAGGATATTTGACATATATGTATATGTGTTCTTAACTATAACCAAACTATGAACTTTTCAGTAAAACTCTTAAGGTTTTACATTTAGATACTTCGCACATTAAGATCAATATCGAGTAAAAAGAATAAAATGTGGTCTAATTTTCACCCTCATGATTTTTTTCTGCAAGGATTCAAAAGTTATAAACAAATTATTGAAGATACGCTGCTTCAGGCTCTTAAAGATTAGTTAGTTGATGGTAGATTTGTATAATGCATAGTTAATAATTGTAGTAAGTATATGGAAAAGAAATTGTTGTCTGATTTTTGCTAAACAGCATTATACTAGAACGACTACTTTTTATTGTGCAAGTTTGTCGTTTTCGACAGCCGAAAACTTCATTTTCCATGTGTCTTTCGAGGAACGGAGGTGGAGTAAACGCAGACAACCAATATGAAATGCCAGCTACATGTACACAAAATATTAAGTTATTAGTTGCTATCATTGAAACAATTGCTCCTAATCCTCTTTTCCCGTCCACAATGCCTTCTTCCGAAGAGTCGCGACCAATGCTTGTTCCTCTATTTTCTACGAAGACTTCATTTGTTCCGTATAGCACCTTTTCTGCAGTGAAGTCTATTACCAATTTACTATTTAGAAATAAAATTTATACCGAGCAAACAAATTCTGAAATACTGCTATTTTGGTTATTTAGTAATTAAACAGACGATACTGGCTCGAACAGCTTGATTCATATTCAATTACTACACTTCTGACTTCACAATAAAAATCATGGCTTTTTAGCTACAGTGTTGCCAATCAACTTTTGAAAAATTCGAATTATTTCTAAACGCGAATTAGATTTATACTTCCTTTATACAGCTTGTACTACCAATCAGAGATCGACAAGGAATCGAACTATAACAATTCGAAATATAATATATAAGTAAATGAACGACTTAATATTGAAATATAAAACTTTTATTTTTAACAGCAGCGAAAATGTTTTGTAATTGACAATATCAGCCAAGAAAGACTATCGAAAATGACAGAATTTACTTCTGCAGAAAAACTGCAAAAGTAAATTCTATATAGACTATCTTTATGATGGAACTAACTGATATTGTGCAATTACATCGGCACTATTACATAGTGATATATTCATCACGACCATTGAATATTTTTCGTTCTTCGTATAGTATACATATAGGCTGTTTATAACTAGCGAACTATTGTTTCTACTATACGATGACATCATTATACATTCTTTTTTCTTTTTATCTTCCATCTATACGAAATAGATCGAAAATAATCCTTTACTTAGTATCGAAATGCGTCCATATATGCTGCCATAGTTATTTTGAAATATAATATATAAGTAAATGAACGACTTAATATTGAAATATAAAACTTTTTATTTTTAACAGGAGCGAAAAATTTTCTTTTGTAATTGACAATATCAGCAAAGAAAGACTATCGAAAAAGACAAAATTCACTTTTGCAATCTATCTCATATAGATGGAAGATAAAAAGAAAAAAGAATGTATAATGATGTCATCGTATAGTAGAAACAATAGTTCGCTAGTTATAAACAGCCTATATGTATACTATACGAAGAACGAAAAACATTCAATGGTCGTGGTGTATATATCACTATGTAATAGTGCCGATGTAAATATCAGTTAGTTCCATCATAAAGATAGTCTATACAGAATTTACTTTTGCAGTTTTTCTGTAAAAGTAAATTCTGTCATTTTCGATAGTCTTTCTTGGCTGATATTATCAATTACAAAATATTTTCGTTGCTGTTATAAATAAAAGTTTTATATAACAATTCGATTTGGTTCCATTCAATTCAATCCGAACTGAACTCGAATCAGTAAAACTCGTTTCTGCCTTTACTACCAATATATCCTCTAAATTATTTGTATGATGTATTATTCTAAACTCATAATAGATGTAATTGCTAGTTATGATGCATATACGCATCCTTTTATTTCGAACAGGAATATGTTTTTACAAGTAAAATTCTACTGCGAGTGAAAGGCATACCTATTCCTCGCCAACTGGATTTCTAGAACTATGTAATATGCTAGAAAAAGGATACAAATTTCAGGATAGTTATTAGGTTTTTCTTCGTGCCGGTGGAAGGGCGGTGTCGCTTCTAGTTCCTCCATCTAGATACACTACTATTTGGCTTCCTTCTTGAGCTCCTTTAATTTGGCTCGTCTATCAAATGAAAGCTCTTTCTTTCATCTTTCGAATGTCATATATGAATACGACAATATCTTGTTCATTTCTTATATTTTGTGTAGATGACGGTATTTCCTCATAAATACAGTCAGAAGACAGCGATAGCAAAATGTCTCTCCTATCTAGTGACCAAAATGACACTCTACTTTGAATTATATAGGATTCGATGAACTTTTCTAAGTTCTACAACATTATACTATCGCATGAAGCTTAACTGGTGAACAAGACATTTTAGTCAAGGACATAATGCTCATGAGAGCCAAACATTGTCCGTTTTGACTAACTTTTGACTGATTTTAATCAGAATAATGAGGTTTCTGATAAAAACAAATAATATGTTTGAAGTCACCATAAAAAAACTGGATCGATCTAAAAATGATGTATTACAAAATATGTAGAGAACTTTGAGTTTTATCGAAAAATTTAGCTTTGAACTCCTCAGGCTTAATTTGCAGTAAAAGCATCAGTCAGAAGTGACTGCGAAAAGTAATTTCTAAATTTAAAAAGCCTAGAAAAACCCAAAATGGCACATGAATACATAATAAAGAGCATGTTTTGACTGACTTTATATTTTTGACGTAACCTTGAGAAGACAACACCTGATTTTTTCCACAAAAATAAATGTTCTCTACATATTTCGTGACATGTATAGGTCGACTCAGCTTTTGATGTTGATTCAAAATCTATCATTTGTATTGATAGAAAGCCTCGTTATTCTGACCAGAATCGCTCAATCATCACTCAAAACAAATAACTTTTGGCTCTGATAAATATTGCGCGCTTGGCTGAAGTGTCTTGCCCACAAATTGAGCTCCATACTATACTGTCATATTATAGAGCTTTGCAAAGCCTGTCAAATGACATATAATTCAAAGTAGATCGCTGTTTTCACAGTACAATAGAAGAAGAATCTTGCTATAGATATGCTTATATTGTCAATACGAAGGAATGCCTTCATTTAAAGAAAAAGAAAGAACAATATTTTGAAGTACTCGTCTATCATATGCAAGAGAAGAAAGAAACGGTTTTCTTTTGATAGAAGTCAGATTAAAAGAGTTTAAGACGCGAGAAAAAACTTTCATAGAAACATAACATTTAATGAGACTATAAAGTACAGATCATATGAAATTTTGAGTCAATCACACACAACAAGCATGAAGTCTAACTGTACAATTTCGAACGAAAACTAATCTCAGACATCAGAATTGGTTATGTCGGAAATAATAAACTCAATTTAGGGAGAGTGAACCGATTAGATCGTTTAATAACCTCTTCCTCCTTTATGGAACTATTATTTAATTATTTACTTTGAGAATACAAAATCATCAAATCATACATATTCAACTGGTATACTTTCGCTTTATTGAGTCTTTTATTCATTTGAAAAAGAGATTTTTTTTTAAGTTCACAGACGGCCATTTTTAAGCTGATTAGAACATTAATCACATGAATATTTTCCGCTTCTTTTATTGCTATTATGTATAAATTTTGCATGTCTCTCACGGGAGACGAAACACTTCGTTAAGAACTAATACGCTTTGCTCATTAACAAACGAGACAAAAATAGAGACTTATCAATGAAGCAAAAAATAGTCTTTAGTAGATGGTGCAGTTAGAGAAAAGAAATAAGTGAATATATGCTTCCTCTATATGTTGATTATAGTATGTTTTTTTTTCAGATATCTTATCTATCTTTGGATTGTTATAAAGCTGAGACAATGGCAAATACTTTAACAGAAAAAAAAGAACACTTTATGAATCAGTATAATTTTCAACCAACAAAGCACAAGTCAATTCGGATTTTATTTGTCATTCTTACAATCATTTGTGCTAGTCTCTATATTATGATAATGAAACCTACATTAAAAATTAACTTTCTTAGTTCAAATCATACATCTATGTTAACAACCTTACATCAACAACAAAAACACTGTATCGTATATTTGAAAGTTCGTTCAGGTCGTCTTGGTAATCGAATGTTTATGATTGCTAGTGCTTATGGTCTTGCTCGTCTTCATTCTTGTCACTTGTATATAACACCAGAAATAATCAATGAAGTGCATGCCCTATTTATTCTTGATCTTTCTCCTTTTCTTATCTCAACAATTATGTTCAACTCAATCATTCACAATACTTTAAAACCAATGACTACAATACGTAAACATGCTGGTTGTCAATATGTTCGTGAATTAACACGTCCGAATGCAATTTCACCAGGACATATACTCGAATTGCATGGTTATTGGCAATCATATCTACATTTTGCTAAATATAGTGACGATATTCGACAACGTATATTTGTTGCAAGACAACCTGTACTTGAGAAAGTCTCGAAATTATTCATTAAAATTTATGAACAAAAGTTTCATTTCAAACCTCAATTCTCATTAGAAAATCATCAATTATTTAAAAAACAACTAACCCAATCAAACTGGACAACGTGGGTTGGAATTCATATACGTCGTAAAGACTTTGTTCCTTTGAATTTTTCTTCATCTGATCAATATTTGTTTGCTGCTATTGATTATTACACTTCACATTATTCCAATGTTCATTTTATCGTTGCAAGTGATGATAAATCATATTGTAAAAATCTATTTCGTCATTGGTCGAATATTACTGTTACGCCACAATCATTTTCCATTGGTGATGATTTAATAGCACTTTCACTTTGTGAACACTCAATCATAACTGGTGGAACATTTGGATGGTGGACAGGTTATCTTGCTAATGGTGAAGTGATTCATGATAAACTATATCCATCTGGATGTGAAAGACGTGAATATTACTATCCACCATGGTTTCTGATCGATGGAGATGTTCGAGCACACAAAAATGGTAATTATACTTTATGATCGAAAAATAAATAGACAAATTTTGTCAAAAGAATAGAATATATAATGATACCAATAGTAGTTTATGTATTTTAATATAGTGTTTTTTACTAGTCAAAATTTCTTAGTTCCAAATCTGATAATCAATACAGCAACAAAGTATTGATTACAGAAACATCTTATTAAACTTGTTTGTTAACTTTGGTATAATATATTTTAATCTAAGAGAAATATGTAATCCTGAATGAAGCAAAAGATAGCAATAGTGTTTCATCTCAAACAGAAATATGAATAATATGACGAATAATTTCGTGAAGTATTAAATTGTAAAAGAAAATGTTAATCAAAATCACTTTCGACAACAAAGGCGAGTTATTAAGATTATTTGACAACACATTGCTATCTAGAAAAAAAGATAAGTAAGACTTATTTCTTTTCTTCAAATCTATAAATTTGTATATTTGAAAGCATAAAAATAACAACTTGGTTGTTATGTCAATGCGTTATTAGTAAGTATATGCGATAAAATTGTTTTCTAGCTGAATTTAGTAAAACGAATGGTTTCTTACCTCTTCAAATATTGAATATTCTAGGAAGCACAGCATTTATAAAGTCCTTCTCGCCTTATACATCGAAAGCTTTTTTCTATTTTCTTTCGCGATGATCCCGATAAGGACGAGTGAGAAAATATTTCTCCAAACACGAGAATGAAATTTCATGATCGAAAGGCGAATATCTGTTCTGTAATATCCAAGCACACGTTTGATTATCTTGCAGAAAACCCACCAAAAACACAAATTTTTGTTGACTTATAAGGGAACTACCTAAACTAATTCGGCTTTCTGTAATTTCGCTAATTCGCAGATTTCTTCACGAAATCGACCCATTTGTAATCAGAACTCAGCAACATCCACCCACACCTGACGGTCTCGCATATGTACCGCATAAAAGAATCTTCACAAATGAATGCACTAAAGCATACATCAACGCACTTTCCTAAATAAAATACTGACAAATATATGCAATGGTATGTGTAGAGAAAAGTGATTCAACGGAATGTACAAACAATACGTCGTTAGATACCTCTACAGCATGAAAAGAAAAAATAATAGAGTTGACATCGAAGAACCATAAGAAAGCATATGTGTTCATATGAAATTTGCATTAGATTTCTGAAGGTTCAGGGTACCATAGCACATGTGAAAGCGTGTGCTAAATCGTGGTTAAAGAAACAAGATGCTGTAATTAAGTGACTCAAGTTTTTGCAGGTGGTAACTATTCGACAAACATGATCCAATTACCAATATTTTATTTTATGTATTTGTTCTTATCGGATCCTATATGATTGTTTTATGAAGTTGTTGTGTTTCTTTTGTTGTCCTCTGTATTATATGTATAATTGTCTGTGTTTTTTATCTAGTGCTCGATTTGTATTTACAATAATTGTGTTTGCTCTTCACCTAAACCGAGTTATACCAGTATTCATGTTTCTTTTTCTTCTTTTTTCTTCAGTTATGAAGCGTGAAAGAAATAGAAAAATATATTGTTCGCATCAGTGTCAACCTGGATTTTTCTCGTTAACTCTAAAAATAAATTTCTTCTAATTTGTTCGATATTATTCCATATGATCATTCTTACAAAATGTGTTTTGCTTTAATTGAAGCAAACAAAATCGTTATGAAGTACATAAAACGAGTATAAATGAGAACGTCGTTGATTAATAAGGAGCCCATAGACCCAGTCAACATGGTTTTTTTCTCGTTCTTTTTTTTTGTCGTAGTGTCAAGGTAACTGATGAAAAAAGAAATGAAATGCAGAGAAGCGTAGCAAAGAAAAGAGCGACAAGTCATTAGTAAATTTGTTTCTTTTAGGCTCATACAAAGATAAAAGTACTTATCATGGCTGGTGTAGCAAAAATTTTTGATGGTCATATTCTAAATAAATCAAAAGAATTAGTTGATCTTAATGATGAAAAATATAAAGGCAAAATAATTGGCCTTTATTTCAGTGCTCATTGGTAAATTTTTATTCTTTTATATATTTTGTTAAATGTTTTTTTTTCCTTTGTTTTCTTTCTTAGGTGTCCACCATGTCGCAAGTTTACTCCGATATTAGTTGAATTTTATAAAACACATGCAGAAAAAAAAAATTTTGAAATAATATTTATCAGTTCTGATCGTGATGAAAATTCATTTAATGAATATTATAATGATATGCCTTGGTTAGTATTAGATTATAAAGAACGTAAAAAAAAAGAGGAATTAGGAAAGAAATATAATGTTACTGGAATTCCAAAATTAATTCTACTTGATGGAGATTCAGGAGATAATGTTTGTACTGATGCAAGAAATCAAGTTCAATTTGAAGATACCAAAGGAGAAAAATTTCCATGGAAATCATCATAAAAGTACTTTTCTGTTTTAAGCGTATCTCATTATCAAACACATATTATAATTGTTGTTTTTTCTTAAGCGTTACATACTTTTTATCTCATGCTACGCTTTCCAATATATTCAAATAGAAAAAAAAAGATTAATTATGTTGTTTTCTTCTTGATAAATGTCTAACTTAATTTATCTTTAATAATATTCAAATGTTAAAAAGCCTTGAATTTTATATTTTTTAATCGATTTATATGCATAATTTTGATCATTTCAGAAAACATGCTTTAAAGGCATTGATTGTAAAGAGTGATATATAGAAAAAAAATATATTGCTGCTCTGACGAATTGAACGATTTATTTGTTAAAAGATACACTTAAGACATGGGATAAAAAAGAGCAAAACATGTTTAAAAAGAAAAGAAAAAAAAGAAATTTATCATGTAAATCAGAGAAATTCTTTTTTAACCCTTTACGGCCGGCTATTTGAAAAATGCCGTACCCCTATAGGGGAAAATGTTGCCATTTGGCAACATCCGGCCGTAAAGGGTTAAAGAACAAAATGTTGAACGAATTTGTATTTTGTGTGAAAGTAAGATCACATGTTGATCTTTCTACATATGTTTTCATATTGATTAAAAACAATAGTTACTATATGCTTTCAAAGAATTGCGATGGTCATTTTTATTTGTCATTAGTTAAATCTAATGCTTTCTTATGATAATATAAGTAAAACTAAAGAACAATAGTCATACGGTTGTATAGAAAGTAAACCAAGCATGTGAGCAGGAGCAAAATCTTTCTCTCCGCAAATGTTGGAGTGCACCTGGATTTTTTTAAAATTTTTGCATAGGTCTGCAGTATTTATTTATCATGATTGTTAAATTACATATAATAGTTGCTTTTGAGAGAAAACTAATTAAACCATTGAAACAAACGCATGAAATAAAAAGGTGTAGTAGGCGTTTGCGCTAAAATATTCATTATCTTTTCGCAGAAGACAAAATAGTCGTATACAATACAGGGTACTTTCACCCTCTAAGAAAAGCCAATTTTTCGAAAGAATATGGAAGGAAAGCTTTTATCATAAAAAGATGCATTCAAGTTTCCTCTTTTAGAATAAATATGACTCGTCCCAAAATGACCTGCTTTTAATAGATTTATTGAAGAAAAATTTGGCTCTACTTCAGGTTTTTCGAGAATTTTTTTTTAAGTTTTAGAAAGATTAATTTATTATTTGCAATAGCATTCAATAAAGTAAATATTTTATTCTCAATATTTGACATCTAGAATTCACAAAATATTGCACAAAAATTTAAAGAATTTGAATAAAAACATCAAGTTCTATATTTGTTAATTTATTTTTCTCAAAACACGGTTCTCAATGGAAAAAAATTCAAATTCCTTTCATACAATTCAAGATATAAAACCAATATACTTTCATATGTTAAAGGTCACAATGAGATTAAACTTTCGTTCAGCTAGATTTTTTTAATATTTGATTCTTGTGTTGAGAAAAGCGAAACTTTATGTCTTGGAGTCATATTTTTCTACTTATTGTAATAATTATGTGCATTAAAGTGATCATGAGAAATGAACGGAAACAAATTTTAAAATTTCATTCCAATAAATAGCTACTCAACGGTATTGGTTTTAATTTGAAATCAATACGACGTCTTTATCTCTTTTAATAATAAAGTTATACGGATTCTTTTGAAGGTTACGAATTAGCTATGAACAAGCTGGAAATTCGATCTATCTTTACGTATTGTGTTGAAATTTTTTATCAAAGCATTTCTCACTATATAAAATGCGACTTGCAGGAAAGTTTTTTTTTTAAATTTCTGTCTGATGCCATTTTCAAGAACATCATTTGTCAGATCTAGGTCTGGATATAATTGCTTAACTACACAAATAGTGACTGTGAAGTCAATGAATCATCTAGCTGTCACTGTGAAGAATATTTTTTATATTTTTTCTGTAGGACTGTTTCAAAGAAGAAAACTGCATTATATTCGATAATGCTAAAAAAAAAAAGCAATGGGCTAAACCTATGTTAAGAAAAAATCCTTGCGGCATCGTTATATGTAAACTGATGAAATGTAGCCCATTTCACCTAGAAGTTACGAACCTATCAAATTGCAGCTGTTACTTTATCGTAATAGAGTCCCTTATTGTCTCGCTCGAATAAGTAACAGATAAAATATATGAATCAGAATCTTTGAATTAAACAATATATAATGCAGGAAAACATTTTTTTTCTTTTCATTCTTATTTGTTTTCATGGATTTCTTTTTTCATTTTCTTATTACTAATTATTTTTTCTTTGACTTTCTTTTATAGACGTCTGTTTGTGCACAGTCAATTTTATTATTAAGTTCATCTTTTTTCGGTCGTATAATTTCACATGTTGAACCATCTAAGAGAGGCGCTAGTTAATAAACTTTTTGAGAAAAAAATCGAACTAGTCCAATTAACTTTTTATATTGTTATATAGAAGAACAACGAGTACAATAACCTTATTATACAATTAAATGGGAAAACAGGAAAAAAATCGAAATTATCGCACAAAAATATATTCGTCTACCATCACCACAAGATCCTGAAGATAATGTTACTTATGTGATTGATATTGATGGTGAAAAACCTGACAGAACAGCTCTTGCTCATCGTAAAATAAATAAGTCTCTTACTTGTGAAATATGATCTAAAAGGAGTGTTGAAGTAGAGTGGTAGAAATTCGAATATTCTCTGCTCACTTTACAAAACGCATATTAACAAATTCTGGTTATAATATATGAACTACTTTCTTATTGCATTTCTCTAGGATAAAGTAAAAGAATGATAAAGAAATGCCTCCCAAAATATATTGAATAAAACAATCTTATTGTCTTTAACTACAGCAGCTACATCGTGTTTCACATTTTAGTCCGCAGGGATTGCGCTAATAGGTTTTTTTTCTACGATCGAAAATTTTAATCTCTCTGAAACAACAATATCATTTATAGATTTGTTTAAAAGAAGCTCTTCTACAAAAAATCTTAACCTCGATAGTTAAAAATAGATTAGAATATAAATAAATAAGCATTCATTTATATGTATAATGATAGACAAATATAGGCATGCATAAAATGGTATATGAGTTGATAGATGAATAAATCGAATCGATGTTGTTTGTCTAAAAGATCATAGTTTAGAGAATTTTAAACAAAAAAAAAAGCTGGAATAAATAATACCGCCAATTGATTAGCTGTCGACCAGCTTCATGCCAGCGAAAGAACTGCTAAAACACATTAGATCATATCACAAGATCTGCTACGATAGATTCGGTGACGGAACTGAGCTTTCTAAAAACAACAAAAATTGTTCGGACAACTCAATTCCAAGAAGCAAACTGTTGAAACAGATTAGTTCCTATCAAAAGAATTATTTGAAAAGTTCATGCAATTAAAACTAAACTTGCCGATCTTTAAAACTCATCGATTAAATAATAAAAATGTAAAATATATTTATCACATTGTTGTATACTGAAATTTCATTATAATTAGTTGAAATTCAGCATGCCAAGAATCAGTAGAGCTTTGAAACAGTATTTTGCATCGGAAATTTTCAGACTTTTTTCAATAATTTCTGGTCATTTCTCACAGCAAAGAAGAAGAAGTTGAACGGGAAGCAACGGCAAAATTCGGAAACTATTCAACTTGACATACTTTTGTCGAGTTCTATTGATTTCCCGTAGTTTTCCATCTGAATCAACTCGTAGTCTTTTACCTGAGTTCAATGCTTTAATTTAACAATGTTTTTTCTTTTAAACAATTAAAATTTAAAATCAATACAATAAAATAAAAATTAAATCAACTTTTAAAATATATACTTTATCTATGCTAGGTACAAAAGAACATTGTGAATCTATGCTACACAAATTTATACTTCGTAAACTAAAGCATCATGGTAAAAGTAGATAAAAATATTCTTTGAAAGAATTTTTATCATTTCATATCTCTTGCAGATTTTTCTTCAGGAAAAAGTTCCGAGCATCTGGATGATTTATTATTGATGAGTGTTCTAGGATAATTACTCAATAAATCTGAATCCAATGATACTAGTGATGATGGTGATGTTCACGATGCTAAATGAGCTGTATGTGAAATGCAACCTATTCGTCAAATTGATTGATATCGTTGTTTAAAATGTACATCACCAACTTATGATATATGTGGACATTGTTTTGAAAGACGTCGTCAAACAGTGTGGGTGTGGGTGTGGTGATGGGTAAGAGGAAGGTCAGCACCCACATCGACACCCATATCAACACCCACACCCGAGGCTTTGTTTCATCGAATCAATCGCTTTACAAATCTCAACAGAAATTTCAATTTTTCAATATAATTTATTATACAGATCCTGAATACTTCTTTCTTTTAACTAGAACTCAATTCACATTATGAGAAAAAGTAGTCCTTTCCTCCAATGATTTCCTCAGCTGTGGTACTAACCAAAGAATCAATAGACCATTCAGCAAGAAGATGCTAGTCTATTGCACTCACATATATTAATGTTTTCTTTTCCTGATTAATCACTCGCCATTCCAACTTCCACAATCTCAACCCACTAAAAACATAAGCATGTTGCTTTCAAATCCAAACCAACACCTTCAAAAAGGAATTCATCCTCATTGCAACGTTTCCATTACCGATCATGAAAGCATAAGATTTGTCTAAAAACGTATGATCTTTTACGACACTTTTATCATTCCACAATAGCACACACATCAATCAGAGTCGAAATCAGATATAAACATCAACATTCTTATACATCAACAGAACAACCATCGATGCAAGACATCAAAACTGTAGCCGACATCTCTAAATTAAAAGCTCATTGCATCCTTCAAAAAGTTGAAACTCCTTCCAAACATTTCAGTCACCTGCAATACTCACAGATAACACCTGCGAATTCTATCAGTTTCCCTACACTACGTATCTCCGCTGTCAGCACGAAACAAACTTATATGTCATCATTTCATCACCCCATAATAAAATCAAAACCCCATCAATATTTATTGGACACTAAAGTTGAAATTGGATACAATTGCTATGGATCCAAACAAACATAGTAAAAAAGCTCAGTCATTCAATGAGCAGGTTAGTTCACCTTTTCCACCGAACCATCATCTATATTAACGCTCATCATCTTGCTCATTGTGGATGGGTGTGGGGTGTGCGTATGCATGTGAGTGCGGGTATGGATGAGTGCGTTAAAAGAGAATATCAGGACCCACACTAACACCGACACACCCACACCCCACACCACACATCCACATTCCACCCACACCCACACTTTTTGTTGTTTTAATAATGATATTCGAAATCAGCACTATTGATAACCTATAATCAACTGGTTTTCACTCAGAAAGCGGTTGGATAGTTGAACAGTTTCTTGAAGAGCTTTTATTTGAAGAAGAAATAATCAAAAACCGGCCAACAAAAAAGTTTTTGAGGTTTGCTCAAATGAAAACAGTTTTTATATAATTTATGCTGTAGAATTTTCGTGTTTGTTTAATATACAATATAATATTATCTTGAATAAAATTTCTTTGTTTCAGTCTGCGATGCGATTTATAGTATTGTTCGTTGGATCACTTAGTTTATTATCCATGTTGGCAGGTATATTCAAGAGCGCATTGGCCTGCTGTAAATTCACTTTCACAGATTGATCTGTCTCAGCGTTTGCTATTGGAGACGTAGACGTTTGCTGTTGCTGTCGTCTCGCAGATTCTTGTTGAATCATTTTTTGTTGAATTTCAGTGGGTATACCTGGATTAAGATTTAATACATAAGGCAAAAGTGTCTTTGGCATATCATCAAAATCAATTATCACTTTGATGAACATTGTATCATCACGAACATATGGATTATTATCAGGTTGTATGATTGTTAGAGGAATAAATTTTGGTATACCACTAGCAATATTCATGTCTGATCGTGGTCGTTGAAAACTAGTTGATTTGACATCTGGTCGAAATGAATCAAGAATATGACGTTGTTGACCACTTTGATCATAAAGACAAAATGTCACTTTATAATGAAATGGAAATTTTAGGATAGCATCGTATTCACCACGCAGAAGGACGAAAAATAATGACATATGTGTTCGTCGAGCATTACCATCACCATATAAATAGAGACGAGTACACATTTTATAACCCGTCGAGGATGAATAAAATGGTGTAGAATAAATCGATGTTTGCCTTTCAGATTGAGCATCAACTAAACAAACAAATAAAAAACTAAAAATTTCTAAATGACTTACTCATACTCTAAATGTATCTTTTGAATATTTATATATTCTGGAACACATAAGCAGCGACGCTTCATTGTTAATTGGAAAAGGGATCTAAGCAATATTTATCTCTATTGATGGCAGATACAAGCAGAACATCATTGATCGAGCAAATATCAACGCAATACTTTACATCGTTATCATCTAAAATCGTGATAAACAGTTATCAAATATTATTTTCTTAAACATTATAGTATGTTATTACATGTAAATATAAAAAAATATTTATCAACGAAATCTGCATGAACAGCAATATAAATTATGATAACCATTCAGACAATTACTCAATAATTAATGATGATTTTCAACCATTATTAATAAAAATTGGAAACTTAATAAATATAGACAACTACTAAAAATCTTTTTTTTCTGATTGAAAAATTAACTTTTCAAGTTCTAAAAATGAGTTTCATATATCCAGTAAAGATGATTATTACCTTTTATATAATTCGCATGCTCTAAGACAAGTCTACTAAACGAGAACTCTTTTCAATCGACGTTGATTATAATGTCATTTCTTCGCATTAAAACTATGGAATACATGCCCTGAAAAATATTCAAAGAGATAGTGAAAATTAAAATCAATCAGGATAACCTTCTCTTAAATCAACACAAATTTGATATGATCAGCTTTGATTCATAGGAAAACAAAAGTTCCTTCAACTAAATGAAAAAGTATGCTGACCCATTTTTTCTTGTACATTGGTTATTTTCCATATAAATGTTCCATCATAGGAGCTTGCTTTCATAGCATTAAGTTTTTGTTCCATTGATGCAAGATCTTGTTGAAGAACTTGTTGATTTATTTTCATACCATCCAGAAAAGCATTCTGTTCTTGAATAGAGATTTTCAGTATTGGTATGTCTTGTGCCAAAGGATCTAATACATTTTTATGACGAATAGATTCAGTGAAGAGACGTTGTATATCATCACTTAATGTTTCAATACCACCTGATAGAAGGTTAATCATCTCATCGAATTCTTGTAATTGAATTGTATTGTTTTCTGTCGTATGAGGAAGATCGATTATCATTTGTGACGAGATTTCGGATTGTTTATACGTAATATTTGGTAATGTTGATATCAAATGACGAACAATATTTATTAATGTCTTTTGATGGTGTTCACTGAGATAATGTTGACGAAGATTGATACGAAGAATCTAAAGAAGAAATTTTATTATATAAAAGACGAAAATATATATGAATGTACCATTTCTTCACATCCGAATTTTTTTAAAGAACAATAAACAGTGATTTTTTCACAATCATATTGTTTGTGTCGATCGAGATCATTGATTGAAGAAAATTTTTCTCCACAATAATCACATATTGGATTTGGGTGAATTTGATTAAGATGATCCTTGAAAATGAATGCAATCAATATGAATAAGTAAGTAGAGCGAAAAAAAAATTTACTTGATAATTCTTCAATACATCAGTCCAACTACAAAGTGAACATACAATTGGCAAAGCCTGCATATCATTTTTAAAACCTCGATCAGCTATTAACTAAAAGCAAAACAAATTTTAAATAAAAAGAAAAAAAAAGATCTTACTTTCTTTCGAGATGTTTTCTCACGACATTCCGAACATATGATCATATCGCTTTAGAACAGAAGATGAAAAATAAAAAAAAAATCAATGGAGAATATACATTATTTACCCTTCTTGTTCATTAATACATGACTGACAGAAACGATGGCCACAATCAGTCAGTTGAAAAGGGTCTCGAAGTAACAATAAACAATGTGAACAAATATACATAGAATTGACAGATTCTTTGTTTTGTAAATTGAAACCAACCATTTTTTTTCTATAATCTATAAAAGATGATGGATGTGATTAGGATAGTAGATCGTGTGAAGAAATATATTTTTAATCATTTGCTCAAGAATACAATCGTCATAATATTGGTCAACTAATACTATTTTAATTTCTATTCCTAACAAATTCTTAGTTAAAATACGATTAAAATGAAGAAGAATATTGGATTAGGATAAGCTAGAAATAAAAAGGTAAGATGCATGCAGGGCGAAATTCAAGTAAGGTTTTCTTCGTATTTTTATACATGGTTCGATAGAGCGTGAGCTGTTGATTAAAAAAACCTGAGTTTTAGTTTTTACCGATAGCGTTTTCAGGTGGAAAAAAACCAAAAACCGAGAAGTAGTTTGTTTCACAAAAAAAATATTATTTTCAGTTTTTGACGATTTTTTCTTCTATTCTTGTGTTCTTCTTTTGCAACTGATTCTTCTGATTCAGCGTTAAAAACTGAGTACAAATACGCTATTAAATTGAATCTAATCCGAAAACTCTGATGATGATGGCGATCCGAGTTGGTGGTATTCGCATGCCTATAGGTCATTTTTATAAATTTGCCTAGTTCTTTTGTGAAGGTGATGAAGTCAAATATGTTATCTAATTTAATTCATCATAGTATCAGTCACAAAAGTACGTATTGCTCTTTTGTGAAACACGACTGCAAAGAAGTGTTGAAATATATAGCGAGGAAGTTTGGACCCCTTCCTCCCCCCTTCAGGGATTTAAAATTGACTAACTTTGTGATTCATGCAGATATTGCTAATTTATATCGAAGATCGTGACAAACGCTCCAGAAGCAACGACTACTGTTGCTGTCAGTACTTCATGATCCAGTTAGAAACTCGACGTCTGTTAAAGATTTCAATAGTTTAAATAAAAGAAATCGATATTCTCCTTTCTGTTAGAGTGATGTCTTACAGACGTAGCAAAACGAACAATTCTGTCGTGTTTCACATTTTAATGCCGCAGAGATTACATTAAAAGCTTTTTTTCTTTTGTTGTCTTTCACAAGAAAAACCATTTCTACTATATTCTGGGCCAAAAAAGTAGAACTCTGGGCATAATTCTCAATTTTCCTTATGAAAACTAAGCTTTTATGTAATAAAATTATCATATTCGAAATCATCGTAAAAAACTGAGTCGATGAATATGTACTTTTATCGTTTCCAATGACTTCAGTTTTCGAGTCCTCATCCGAAATCGTAAGCGAATTTTTTATCAAAAACGGAAGGTGACGAAAAGTTTGGAAATATACGTCAATCGACTTAGTTTTTATGCTGATTTCGAATATGATAATTTTATTACATAAAAGCTTAGTTTTCATGAAGAAAATTGAGAATTATGGGCAGAGTTCTACTTATTTGGCTCAGAATATAGTAAAAATGGGTTTTCTCGACAAAGACAATGAAAGAAAAAAAAGGAGTAGCTGCCTAATTCGAGTTCGAAAGTAACTCAAATTTTCCAAACTTTCTAGGCACTTAAATAGCCGAAGCCAAAGATAAATTTTTATCTCAATTATAATAATAATTTAAGTAAAGACTTGCATGCCCATGTAAAAATATTAGGAAAAATTCAGAATAAAGTCGATTATTCTGAATTTTTCCTAATATTTTTACATGGGTAGCTTGCGTGTAGCAAAATCTGTATAATCGGCACAAAGAACACATGGGGACCAAAAGGAAAGACCGAACTACACTCTTGTCTCCGAACATCGAGATAGCACGCGCCATGAAGGTCTTAATGCCATTACCCTCATTCTTGCGCTACACCCTCAAGGTCACTGTTTTCGCCCACACCCTCATTTTGACGCAAGGCCTTCTGGATCACTGTCTCGGCCGTATGCATTTCCACTTTGACACTCCAAAGAAAACCTTATCTAGTTTAGCGGAAAAGCATTGGGTGTTTGAAAAATCACAAATTGTAGTTTGGTTGTAATGGGAAATGTAGTAGGTAGCTGACGCTTAAATATGCTCGGTGGAATTGTAAACAGATTTTCAAGTAAAAAACAATTAATCTTTGGCCTTTTTGACCGTACTAACAGGAAAGTCCTTATTGGAATTTTTTCGTTTATTCTCGAAGTGATCTTATGTAGTTGAAGTTTCATTTATTTTCAAACTCGAATTAGACAGGTCATGGCAAAAGCAGAACAAAAGAACAGAAGAAAAAAATCACCAAAAACTGAAAATAATATTCTTTTTGCGAAACAAACTATTTCTTATCGGTTCTTGGATTTTTTCTTTCACCTGAAAACGCTATTGATAAAAACTAAAACTCAGGTTTTTTTTTAATCAGCAGCTCAAGCTCTATCGAACCATGTATAAAAATACGAAGAAAAGGTTACTTGAGTTTAGCCCTGCGTGCACCTTACTCAAACTGTTTCATCCATAGATTGGTCAAAAATCTGGATCAAGATCGATTTTATCTTTGCACTTACTTCTCATGATCGAAATCTACTCTACATTTACAAATGATTTTATGACTTTATTTTGTTCAAATCAATAAATCATTTTCTCAGATTCAACAATCAATCAGTTTTTTGTTTAGTTTTTCTTTTCGAAAGAATAATAAATAATTTAGATGTTCAAGGTTAGGTTTGTTACTTTATCTTTACTTTATTAAATAAAGATAAATGGATTCTTTATTTTCAAAAATACAGAATAAAGAAAGATTTCTTTTTATGATAGATAAATAGGTAAATAGCGAGTATAACAACAGGATATATTAATTAATATTGTTTCTCATCATCAACATCACTTTCACATGTGATATTATTAAAAACTAAAGCTTATACATGAAAGAATATATGCACAAAAATTTTTCTGTATATTTTATTTCTATATATATGGTATCATAATTTTTTGTGAGCTACTTGGTAAAATTTAAAAATTAGGTTCTCATTGAAAAAAAATTTCTTTATTATAAAGAAAAACAAAAAATAAAGTATAACACTCCTATTCAAAATCAAAGAACCTTGTAAATGAATTCACTAAAACTAATCTATGACAATTACTAATATAAATACTTTCTGTCAAATGTCATGTGAATTAAATCAAAATTTGTCTTCTATTTATTAAATAATTCATTCAAACAATAAATAGTTTCTTTTATTTAACAATAATGTATATTTATTTGTAAATGATTTACAAAATGTAACGTCAAATATACTGAACAACTAAGACAAGTAAATGCGCTATATGAATACAAAATCTCAATTAATTGCTCAGAAATCCGTTCGAGATTGATATAAAATCGTACCAAACGATGCCAATAAGCACAATTCTCTAGACTGAATGTCTAGGGTCTGTCAGATGGTAAATAAATCATTTGTCTATCTGTCTGTCCGCAACATATTTTTTAAACCAGTGTGCCTGTTGATTAAATATCTTATTTCATTGAATAAAAAAATATCCTCTCTTTGTCTCTTCACTGATCATTTTCGCGCTTCTTGCTTTTCTTGCTCGCTTTTCTATATCGAGCCTTGTAAACAATTCAATGTCTGTCTCTCTTCGGCCATTCTCAACCGATTTTGAACTCATGATCTGTGAAATGGTTAATCGGCAATGTTATTTCACAGTTCCACTGAGGTTAAAAAAATGCTCCTATGTGTTTTCGAGGAGCTTTCTGCTACATAAGAACTAAGTTATGTGTAAACAAATGGGTGAAAAACATCTGTATATCGGAAAAGGAATTTCGAACCAACTGATTAAACGTCAAGATTTTATTTCATTGGATAAAAATTTCTGTTAGTCCATTTGTGGTGATGTGTTTTTTCGGCCCTCATTTTGAAACTTGAATAGATCTCAAATGCAAGATATTTCAAAGATATTAAATACGCATCAATGTGTTGAGATGGATTTTGGGCCGTTGTCAAAGACTATGATGAATATTTTTACATGTCGCTCTCTGCATTCACGCACTTGCTTGATGAATGGGATACGAAGTTTTCTGTTTGGAATTAAAATGTACTCTATCGTATTTTCGATCTCTGAGATCCGTAAAGATCTAGCAAAAAGCGTTTAGTGCAATCCCTTTAGGACTAAAATGTTAAACATGATGAGGCTATTGATCTTCACCTTGATTGAATTTCTAACAACTAGCAAAATCAGTGATATCTCGAAAAAGAGCGTACAGAGAGCTTCAAGTTCGCGTCTGAACTTACCGACTCCGAAGGAGAGTAGCGAATGGCACTAGAAGAGTCACTCCGTAAATGCATCTCAAAAACGGGAAAGTGCTGTTGTCCCTCCCTTCTATTTGCATTTCTGGTCAGCCTGTGATGAGAAAAGGCGTCGTTGCTAAGGTATTTGTCACAGTCGATGATGGTTTAGATGGTCTTTCTACCATGTATATTTTACGACCATTATGTGTTAGACTCTTGCGGTGCGGCTATGAGAATTTTCGTACCACAGTGTAGTAAATTTTAGGACAAAGAGGTCAGAGTTGTTGACTTTGGTATTTTGAATTTCCCGATCTCATACCTCTGGGTTCTAGTGCAGTATAACTATCAACCAGTCATGAACAGTCTCGGGAGAAACTTAGATTGAATAGCCTCATCTCGCTTCCCATGGACAGCGACGGAGTAGTTGAGATGTGGCTCTGAAGCTTTGCATCATTAATTTTTGGATTACAACAATAAGAATTTCAAGTGCTTAGGATAAGAGACCATTTTAGACTTTTGACCTATGCTATCGGATAACATCGAACCCCACAGAATATTAACTTTTATCAAAGACGAAAAATAATGTCTGTTGAAGTATATGGTGATCAAAGTGAGCCTCCGCGTGTTTCCTCATAAATACGTGCGGACAAACAAAATAACCCGAGTCTTTGAACGTCTCAGAGCATGAGAGATATTTTGATCTGTTAGCCTATTTCACTCTCATGGACAGTGTGATGAGCATGACCAGGACTTTTATCAACAAATAGAATAGATCTATTTTGTTCTACGTTTCAATTAAAAAGGAATTACATTGACTTTTTTTCTTGAAATTATTATCACTTAATCAAACTGATCATATTCATCCTATTGACCTCGTTCTATCTTCAACAGCAGAATACGTACTACAAATCTGCTTGTAATCATATAACAAATGCTTTTCCTAGCATTCGATCCCATGAACTTTCAGTTTAGGGTCAAGTGAATCAGAGACCGATGAACGTTACTTGTTATTTGTGATCATTCATATTCAAAAAAAAAGAAGATTAGTATTAAGACAATCTCTTGATTATGCCAATGTGGAAGATGAGACCTTGAAAAAACTTATTATCAAGGTAATCATAAATTTATCACGTATGAAAAATATACTCTTAACTATTACTATCAGAGTCAAAATAATATAACCAATCCAAAGAATTTTATCAAGAATATTGAAATTGCAATAATTCTTTACGATACACATTGTTCAATAAAAAGATAGAAAATGTGTATTATCCATCACTAAATCAATTTTAACTAAATGTTTTATACGAACCAGTGGAAAAGAGTTGTGACATATCATCGCCTATTTTACCAACTTATATAGAAAAAAAGAAAAATAAGAGAGAAGAAAAAGAAGGAAAAATAAGAGAGAAGAAAAAGAAAGAAAAATGAGAGAACAGAGAAAAAAGAAGGAGAATCGACTAGATAAAAAAGAACAGAACAGAGAAAAAAGAACAGAACAGAGAAAAAAGAAAGAGAATCCACTAGATGAAAAAGAACAGAACCGGGAAAAAACCAACTTAAGTGCTTGTGCGAAGCAATAGTACCTCTTTCATATATCATATCCTGATGTTATATGTACTAGCTTATATGGTACTTTTTCAAGTAATATCCGCCTTCTGCGATTAATCCATGTACTAAACATTTTCATTATGCCGAACGTAATTGCTTGAAATACATCGAAGTTCTATGCGAAAAAAACACACATTTGTATGCTAATTAGTTCGATTTTATTTGTAATTCTTAAGAAAGTTCCATGAATGATAGGTTCCTATTTTCGGACAATTCAAATCAAGTGGTTATGAAAAATTTCACGGAAATCTAATTTGATGCGTAGACAAATAAGCTCAGAAAATTCATTTTAATGTGAAAAGACTATAAGAATGAAGTATATAGTTTAAGAGTGAATGTCTGAGAGATTCAGAAACCATCGATGGAGTGACCTTGGGTGTGGATTTTCTTAATTACACACTCACACCCACATCTCACCCACACTCTGTGTCAGCTGCATCGCTGGTTTTAGTCTAGTTTTCGTATTTCAGGATTTATTAAAAATAACACTATTATATTAGCCATTGGCCAAGATATTAACCAATAGTGATATTATTGCATTATCTGAAATAATTCACTGTGATGTGTCAAACTCAACTTTTCTCGATAGAAACCGTTATTTTCAAAGCAAAAAATATGAATTTCATCGAAAAATCAATGAAAAAAAGGAGAAAATCGGTCGGAATGGCGATTATTTTTGAAACCGTGGTCAGCGGTCGGTTTCATCAAAAAAAGATGACATGGATTAGAGTTGTAATATTTGACTGTTGTAGCCATAAATATTTCAAATCTTTATCTTAGGAATTATGTAAGCGAGACAAAACTTTTAGATGATCCTTATAAACATGATTGCTTGTTGCGGAAACAATATGGGCTGTATATGACACTCATCGTTTGAGGTAATAAGTTTTCAAGAAAGATGATAAATTTCATAATAAATTGAAAATCTCGTATTTTCACTGGTTCCGGCCAAAGTTGAGAAGCCAATATCTCAGCCTACGGACACTGTGCATCAAAACCCTAATGGACTTTTCAACTATTTACTGAGGTCTATCTAATGATAATACTCTCAAATGAAAAGCGATTTTTACATCTGGAGAGGTTCTCTCATAAGCTAAATCTTATGGTTTTTTAATTAAACTGGTTAGATATTGTTCTGAAAAGAGTTATTTGACTGTATTTTTTGGTCTATAAATATTTATATTATCTTTGAAAAAAATCTAAAAACTCATAATTGATGATTAATAGTTAGTATTTAGATTTGCTTTGACATGACGTACCCTGTTTATGTCATTACACAATAACATATAAAGAGAGATTTGTTAAATTCACGAAAAAAATTCTTCTCTTTCTTGACGTTGAAAGACGCATGACAAGTTCTGAGTCATTCCTACTGTCTATATTTATATTGAAATAACACATTTTATTCAGTCACAATTATTCATCTCACGTTAGAGAAAAGAGCAAAAATTAGGTAATGTAACTATTCTAATTGATATTTATAATAGTGAGATAAAACAATCGTTATCTTTCATATAATAACGTTGCTACGATGATCAAAACCATATTTGTATGTTAGAAACAATTAATTCTATGACAAAAGTGAAAAATCTCAGCTTTTATATAAGTAAATAATATTCGATAAGATTTTCTTGATTGAATTGATGAAACAATAAAGAAAAAATATTTTTTACAAATTTAATCATTTGATGTTTGTTGTAATTTTTTTCACTATAAAGAAAAGAGTACTAATCTCGAGACCAAAATAAAAGAATAGTTATTATTTTAGAATTTTTGATTTTCCATTAAATATTGATTACTAATTGAAATGATGGTATAGAACTGAAAGTTGTTTCTGAGAAAATTCTTCGATTTTTCAATGTCATCATTGATATAGTCACCAAAATTTTTCTTGCATTGAAGACGCTATTCTCTAAGGAAAACGAATGATAAATGAATATACCAATAATGCTAAAGCGAAACAAAAATATCGATTAATCTCTAATGAAACATGTTAAATTATTTATTTAATAAATGAGGTTGATTTGTAACAACAGAGAAAAGTTTCGATGAAAATTCAGGATATTGAAAAGTTAATCCTGAAATTTTCATTTGAGAAAAATTTCATCATTTAATAATAAAATCGAGTATTTTTAAAACATCGAAAGATTCATGTATGAATATAGTTGTACATAAATCAAACTTAAATATCTTTGAAAATTTTTTAATTGAATTAATCTTTGGTTTGTCTTAAGTATTCTTCAATACTTTTGTCCACTTAATAAATAGTTAGTTAACGTTATTTTCTTTTTTAGATAAAATTTCGTCTCAGATTAACGATAATGTCATCATTTCAAATAATTGATAGTCTAAAACCTATTGATTATGATGAAAATTCCGAAAGATATAAAACAGTAAGTGTGATTATTGCATCAGATACTCACAAAAATCATGAAAAGATGACGATTCCCGATGGTGACATATTTCTACATTGTGGAGATTTTACAAATAGACATGATTGGCAAAATTTAACAGATGATCAAATTCCTCAATCTATAATTGACTTTAATCACTGGTTAGGAAGATTAACCCATAAACATAAAATTGTTATTTGTGGAAATCATGAAATTGGTTTTAGAAACTTTTCAAAGGATGATATTCAATCAAAATTATTAACAAATTGTATATATTTAAAAGATGAATTAATTCAAGTCGAAGGTATTTCAATATATGGTTGTCCATGGCCATTTAATGAACGTTATAGAACAAAATGGTCTTTAATTCCATCACATATCGATATATTAATGACACATAGTCCTCCACAATTTATCTTAGATTTAGCATATCAGCCGAAAAAAACTCCTTCAATAGAACCTTGTTCAATCTGTAATAATACAGTTCATGGTTCATACGGACATTGGGGTTCAAGAAGTTTAATTAAAGAAATTCGTGAAAGAATTCAACCTCGAGTTCATTGTTTTGGACATGTACATGATGATTCAGGTTACAAATATGAACAAAATGGAAATGGAACACTTTTCATTAATGCAGCTATGAATTTAACAAGACAACATTTTAAATTGATCTTTTATATTGATTTACAAAAACAATAACATTCATAGGATGAGGGTGAAGCAGAGACACCCATCCATCCTCAAGTTATTTAGTGAGACAATAAACTAGTATGAGCACTTGTTTGTTCATTTACAAATAATTCTTCACAGACTTAGTCTCAATGCACCAGTTTACTAAAGAAATGGAAGCATTAAGATCAATAACTGGCTCACTGAAAGCTAAGATATCTTTTAAAAAAGGTATATTAAATACGTTTACTGTACAAGTTAGGCTGTTAATCGAGAGACTTTCTATTTCAATTAAATATCTTTCAGACTTACTTGCGCATTAGCTTTCACAAATGTTTGAATGCTGGAAATGATCACAGAGATATTTATAAGACTTTATTTTGACTCACATAAAAAAACATCAATTTAACTTTCCAAAATTTCGGCAATCGGTGTTTCAACAATAAGGTCCAGACGCATTACAGATTTATGCCGACCGTCTGTTGTTGGGTGTGAGTTTGTGGATGAAGAGAAGACAGTTATCGCACACCCATACCCTCGAGAAAGTTTCGATTTGATTTGATGGCAAATAACTAGCAGTGAATAGCATGATAAAAACATTTTTCATTCATCGAGCTCTGCAATTATGTAATTTTATGTCTGAAACGACTTTTCATATACCGATGAATCTAGCATACAGATAAAGCTCACGGAGAATGATCTCTAGCATTTAATTATACTGTGCTTATAGTAGATGGCAGACCGACAGCCAAGGATTCACAGTAGTCCATTATAGAAAGTCATCTTCGATGGCAATCATTTTACATTATCAGATGAACTCAACGATATAGTCCCATTATTGGCGGATAATGATCACGACATACTTGAATGACACGATAACACCATCACAACATACACAACCACGACAGCCAATACAATAACAACAATCACTTTCGATTGGCAACTGCATCAGCTTATAAGAAAAACCTCCTAAATTAGTTGTTTTTAGTCCAAATAGACTGGAGTGTATGCACTGAAACATGAATTTTATTTGGTATTGCAATGCTGATCGGTAGCATAGTTTTAATGTATACTGAGAAATGGGTTTCATTCAATATTGCCATGTTATTCATTAGTATAGCTCTGGACTATTATCCTTGTGAAACATTTGAAAATCGTCATAACAACTCAAAATACATAAAACATTGATTTTTATTCACTCAATATTATGAACAATATTTTCTTTCACACAAATCAAGAACATTCTATTTCTTCAAGTAAAAGAATGCAGCGAATTCTCGTAGTATTGGTTGATTGATACTTAGTTTGGATAATAATTTCGTTCAATTTTAAACAAGGAAGTCATATTTTTGTTTGACATGTTCATCTCTTATATGGAAACTTTATTTATTTTTCTCTTATAAATTGATAATGATCGATGATTAATCATTCATCTTTTGCGCTCACGAATTTTTCTGCATTAACATTCTCTTTGAAATGACTTCATCGGAAGCATCCTAGATCGTTTCTAATCAATTCATCAAAAAATGAATCAACAGAAACGAATCGTGGGTGTGGGTGAAGTTCTAGCAGGAGGGAAGCAGAGCAGCAGAATCAGAAAAGTTTTCTAAGGTATCTTTAACAAAGTCTTTGGAACCAATTGAAAAAACTCGTAGGTGAGCGCAGGAAGCAAAATACTCGATTTTGTAAAAGCTGACATAAGTATGCTAAGATTGTAGTGCACTGTCGACTTAGTAATGTCATGTGTTTGTTCTCAAAAAAATCTGCCAATATTTGTTCAATCTGGTATCAGATATTCGTATAATACGGAAATTGATAGATAATCAGACCGTTTCAAATTCATTTTGTTAATTGAATAAAACACATGATATTTCGAATCGACAATGCTCTACAAGCCTAGCATACTTATTTTCACTGTTCAAAATCGACGATTTTGATCCCCGTACCTATCTATCGGTTCTTCGGTTTGGTTTTGATGACTTAGTTAGAGAACCTCTCGAAACTTTTGCGGCTTGCGCTGTGGAGTTTCTAACTGTACCGGTAGTTTATCCTAAAAATTTCAGCCCATCTATCGATCAGCGAGAAAAGTTGATAGTTTCTTAATGGCAACATATCAGTGACATCCTATCAAGGGATATTTTTGACAATACACGAAATTACGTGATCGATACAGGGAATAGCGATACATAGCAGCGAGGGGACGTGTGGTACCTGTAGAACTGCCAGGAGAATCATTGAGACCTGGGAAGAACAACAGTTCGGATATATCAGATGACAAGAAAACCAACGTTTGTGTTTGAAATTTGTTCTTTTCTAAGCTCATCCCTATCGTTTACTATTCGACTTCTAATATAATTTATTTTTTTCGAAAAATTCTGTAAGAGTCTGATGTTATGGCTCATGACCGAGATAAGCAGCGAGATGTAATACAAACAGAACGGAGAAAAAGATACCCTCTCGCGTGTCTCGAACCATGGACCTTCTGCTTATCGGGTAGACGCACTACCATTATACCAGCAGGGATATTGCATCCCCGTTCTACCGACGTAGGAGAACACTACGGATATAACAAATTCCTTCTCAAAATTCTTCTTTTCTGGACTCCGCACTACGACCATTGAATTAAGAAGATTCGTTTCAACAACAATTATAGATCATAATTTACATTCAATATTAATCGAACAAAAATTTCGTATTTAAGATAATGATGAAGAAACAAATGATGTTGAAGTCAAGAAAACAAGATAAAAAAATTTAAACAACATATTCAAATATGTATGAAACATTTAAAACAATTAAAACAATTAAATAAATAAAATCATTAAAAACTAGCTTAAATGAATGAATATGAATCAATATTGATAATCTAGATCATCCAGTAGTTTATTTGTAGGGCAGAACTTTTTTAGCGTGTTTCAGACTAGAGTGCTGTCATATAATAGTCAAAGAAGATCCGTGCCACAAACGATTCTTTATCATTAATCTAATATTGAAGTTCAAAATTTATTCTTGTTATCATAAAAAAAAAGAAACTCACAGATAAAGATAATCTTCATTTAAAAAACCGATAAAGATCTAAAATGAATTTTTTTCTTACAACAAATTGATAAACTTTGTTTGATATTAACGTTATCAGGAACAAATTAAAGCTAAATCAAGCAACAAAAAAATTGAATTTGGTCCAAAAACAAATAGAAAAGATTTCAAAACTTTCTAATAATAAATGAAATGTAATTGACAACTACGTTCAACGATAGCTATTTGCTCACTTTGTATTTTATATCTTCTGATAAGGAGATCGTTTTTGTTGATACATCTAACTTTATTTATTGTTTCATTTTGTCAAATGATAAATGAAACTTTGATTTTTATGTTCTATTTAATAACAGAACAAGATTGTATTAATTTGTTTTTTTTTAATTAAAACTATC